GAAAGACCGTCAGCCGTTCCATAATCATGTATTAACAATTTAACTTACCCAGGTCAATAGCTAACTATGTTAACTTGTATTACATACAGTCTGTAATGAATTTACTATAATTTATATAGGTCAGCAACGAAAGATGGTGGCGAAGAAAACGTGGACAACGCCAGAAAGAAAGCGTTGAAAACATTCCAAAAACACATTCAAAATGGAGTGCTACCCAAAAAAAACGAGTGTGTTAAGTTTTTGGAGGAGAATCACGGGATAGTACAAAACAGAACATGGACAAACGTGAAGGATTATGTGAGAAACTACACCGTGAAAAAGAAGTAAACAAGTTCGAATCCTTTTATATTTTATTCAGAGCAGAACGCGGCTTGTTGAACTTGCCTCTTTATATATGATATTTTAGCCAGAATGCAATTTCAAATTCTTCACCAGCATTCTCGTTAATGCCGCTCTGATTCTGATCGTGAATTATAGAAGTGAAGTTGCTACGTGAATGTTAAAAAACTAAGAAACATTGTCTTTGCTGGAAACAAATGGCCAGCGATAAAACTGAATGACGTCATCGTGTGAATCAGTCGTAAATCTGCAGACGTCAAACCAATTCTATTATTTTATGTTTTCAATTATAACCTCAACATAACAAGAATGTCTTATATTAAACGGATCTCTTTTCTTCAGATTACTTTGAAAGTGATTCCAATGACAATTATGGAGCGACGACCTTAGAAGGACTATTGCAACATATAGTGACTTTGAAACTGATGACATATTTAGTGAAAGTGTACAGTAAGACCTTAATTTGTAAACAGACATTTAAGTTTAAAGCCATTTTGTTGCACAAACAATTTTCACTAAAATGTTCGCTGCAATTTTCTTCTGTTGTGATTCTAAACAATTCATTAGCCACGTTCTAAATGAAGACAGCAAGTCGGATAGTTATATGTTTGTCTACATATAACATGACTGCTCTAAGCATCGGACAAACAATGATTTAATGATGTACAAAAATAACACAAACAACTGCACCATACCTGACAGCAAAAATTGTTTGTGCAAGAGTCGCAATAAAACTTTTGGGTAACTGTATTAATTAATTAATACTTCTGATTCACTTGTGCTATTATGAAAGCTAAGAAGGGAAAACTATGACATTGAGTTGTGTTCAGATATTTTTGCACAGTTTGTTTCAGATTGTTTGTTATAACATGCAATGTGCATTTAGTGCAAGCTGTAAACAAACTTTTCACATGTATATATAATATAATCTAAGGTTTTCACACCATAAAGCATGATTCAATACAAATATTTTGTTTATGTAATTTTGTATAATGTATTGTATAATTTTAAAAATGTCATAAGTTGATTTATGTAATAGATGTATATATAGGCCCAGTTTACATTTCAATAAATTTAAGTTTGATTTTCATGGAAAACAATTATAGATTGGTATATTTTTAGGAATTATGTATTAATGGCATATAGGTTTTGTGCTTTTTCATAATAATATACGTCACTCTATTTCTGTTTTGGCACAAATACTTTAAGACGAATGACTAAACCCATACAATTCTGCCTGCTTGAGATGAATTTTGGGTGAATAAACTGACTGGATTTAAAAAATAAGACAGCAATGCAGGCAGTAGTAATATACAATTAATAGATTAATGATCAAATATTACATTTGTGATATCAAACAGGGTTTTGAATTAACAGAGTACTGGTAGTAGCACAATTATTTTATTTTCTTACACAATTCACTTTCCAATAATACCAAAATGGGCTGATGAATGACATTGGTATTTATACCCCTGTTTATACTACATTTAATTTACTGGCACAGCACAACAAAATGGGTACTCGTACCCAATTTTATATTTTTACTAGAGTTCAGGCTACCTATACAAAGACAGACCTGTGAAATGAGCATGAGTACCCATTTTAGCCGTGCCCATAAGTGTAGCGTAAAACGAGGCTTATACTATATAGTATATAGCCTATCAAAATAGATACTGGTAAAGCTGGCACTGCAACCATTTTGTTTGCCCACGAGACCAAACAGTCAGGAACGTACATCAACAACAAGCTCGGAAAAAAGGAAAAGATCGCTGAAAGGCAACCGCCCTCCGCTGTAATTTTAACGTAGGTGATATGCACCTGGCAATAGGGACGATAAATTTTTGTTCAGACTTCAGATACCCGATTGCACAAATTATGCACACTTATAATTTACCCTCTGACAATAAAATTCAAAATTATCTTTCAACATGTACCTTGTGGGAATAAAAATCTTCATTTCTTAGATGATTAGCCGCTAAATTCGTCCAGGACAATCCCTTCTTTAGTTTTCCAACGGGAATGGAGATTTTGCGACAAGCTTTTTATATATTATCTCATAATTTTTGAGTTCATGAATGCGAACACATATTATCCTCCATTGGATTGTATCGATCAGGTTCGTCAACCTTGTCTTTGACTCTGCCGTTTGATATCGTACTAGGTGATAATTTCGGAAAAACGGCAAGAAAAAGAATAAACCGTTTACCATATCACGAAATTCTGAAGAATACCATACAAAGGTCTTTTATCATCTTTTATTGATGGTGCGAGCATATAGGTGCGAGTATGCTCCGAGTGTCATCCGACACTTTCCGAATTGTAACCGGACAACAGCGGTCCCGTTCAAAATTTCCAACTGTATTTTATTGATTTATTCATATAATATCTACTATTTCTACTATTATAAAATGGCGCATAAACATTATTTGTCTTTTCTCAAGAAGCTGTTACGATTGTTGGACGAGTCACAGATTGAAAAGATCGATGAAAAGGAAATTCACATTGATAGACGACCATAAATACTACAATCAATGAGCATTAGGTTGACTTTAGCGCCAGTACGGACTGTTGAAATATTTTCGCCGGGTAGTAAAAGACGTTCATCAAATAACGCGCCAAGAGTACTAAAGTAAGTGCGCTTCACTTCCTACAGGCTCGGGGATTTAATATTAGGGACATTATTAAGCATGTACATGTAATGTAAGACGGCAAAACGAGCACGCGACTTAGACATTTCTTTAAATAAATACTATGGTAAAGAGTTGTTGTATATTATCAATCGTATCTATTTAATCAGGTATAAGACGTTGAAAACATTGTGTTAATATTTGGGAACAATTCTGAGAGCCTAATTCGAGGTACCGCTCACTGCGTCCTACGTCTCCCACAAGTAGAATTACAAATTATAAGTAAAATGCTGTGAGTGAATACACGTAGTACTTCCAGATAGTAATGGCAATATTGTGCGTCAAAAAACTTAATCTTGTTTACATAATGATTAACTATACAATATTATATCGTCAATTCTCCCGAGTTGAGATCGCGAATATTACGCATTCGTATAGGATGAAACCGCAGTACTATGCTACGTGTGCTCAAAAAATCATCCTGGGGCCGGTTGTATAAAAACTTCGTTAACTTTAACTGTGATTAGCGCTAATCACTGTAGTTAAATCCTTAACTATGATTAGTTAACTACACGACTTAACTGCGTTGCACAAAACGTAGTTAGTCGGATGATTAACTAATCACGTAGTTAACTTGCGTGGAGCTTGCGTGGGGTTGTTAAACAGAGAAATAACATGAAGTGTCTCGAAATTATTGACCGCTATTATTGATTTTGAACAAGACTGTGGACTCGTGTTTACAAAAATTGACAGTATTTTGATCTAAAATATTGGAAAAAATGCAATAAAACAAAGAAAAAATTCAAAATAATTCAACGAAAATGGCGCTCTTAATATAGAAGGTCCCTTTGAGTCAAAATACCGGTTGCAGTTGAAAATGGAGATGGCTAATCTTTGCTAGGAAGTAGGATCGCAATTTGGTATCGACATGCACGTCTCCCGAAGCAAAAATATACTCCGTTGCTGCCCAAATGAAAAAAATAAAAGCATATTGAAAGTTTACAAGCTTCGACGGGGCCTTTTTTGAGTATATAACGGTTGACAACCTTGGTATGTGTTGATTTTAATGTTTTCTCACTCCTCAAAAGCTCAAGACGCCATTTTTAACTACGATTTGGAAAGTTAACGACGCCCTTGAGGATAGTTAACTTTAACTACTTTTTAACTGCAGTTAAGGCTAACTACACTTTTATACAACCGGCTTAACTACGTGATTAAGGTTAACTACTTTTTAACTCTTTTTAACTACTTTTTAACTGCAGTTAGCGCTAACTACGTTTTTATACAACCGGCCCCCGACCAACAAAAATCGCTGAAATCGAGATGCACGTCAACAATATAGGGCTAAATATTTATTTATTTTCAGTGACCTATTGTATTGATAACATCGTCGTCGTGCCCCCGTCCTACATGCTTAAGGTCCCTTTTGGCATGCTGCGAGGGAAGATAATATCAGCATTTCATTATTGATCGAAACATGTATAATGTCTTAATGACTGCCATGCTAGCTGAATAAAATTGTGTATAAGTCATGAACAAAGCAGAAGCATTGTGCGGTCCTCGTGTATTACAGGTGTAGCACTGTGTGGACATAAAATGCAAGTCCACATTATGGAAAAATTCTTGTACAAGTTACCACAATGATAGTCGCATTTTATACACATTTTTTACACTGAACCTGTGAAATGTCATTGTGGGAAGACTTTGTTTTTTCTTATAATTCGCTATTTTTTTGTTTTTTTCGACTTTTCTGATACGTCCTGAACTGTTCGAGTTGTGTTTTTCAATGCGATTGAGGAAATTTCATTAGGATCCTCATTTTCAGATGAAAAATCTTGATAAACATTCTGTGGACTCGCTCTGAGGCCACACAATGTCCTAAGTCCGCGTAAGGTAAGACACAAACTTGTGGGAGCTCCCACAATGTGTGTTTCACAGATACAATGGCTATTTTTTACATTATTTTTGATGATTTTTGTTTAATTTGACACCGATTGTTCAATGCTATTGAACGTCCAATAATTCTTGTTCGTTCATTTAATTTATGGTTTTTACCTGATAGGCAAGACCCCATAGGATCGGCCTCCCGATAAACACCGCTTTTGCCCCTAAAGCCAAGGCTTTGAAAATATCCTAACCAAACCTTATACCACCGTCCAGATACACTTCCACATCTTGACCGACAGCGGACACTATTGACGGTAAAACTTCAATCTAAACCGAGATATAAAGTAATTGTGCCTTCATGATTGAGTTTGAAATAGTGCAATTTATTTTTCAGATGATCGCATATAGTATTAACTTATGTTTTTCCTCACAAATGCTCAATTGCTTTTCTCAATCAGGGTAAAGCGGGAAGCTGTTAACTGGCACTCAATCATAAATTGCAATAAATTATGACTAAATTTTAAATTACCATAAATTGGGTTATAATATATAAATTATAAATTACAGTAAATTATCATAAATTACAAAATATAATTTGGACACATCGCGCATACCGTCGCGGGAACACAGTCTAGTTGTCGACCTCCATGATTTGAAACAATGATGCCATCAACACCACATTTTACCGCTAGTTTTGCATCTTCAGCGGTAAGTATTCCTTTTACTACTACTGGTAATGATGTAATAGACTTTACCCAGGGAATGATCGTGTCCCATGTAGCTGATCTATCGTGGATTTTGTCCACAGAGCCACTACCAAACTCTAACATATCCTTCGAATCGAATGCCTCCTTTATGTTAGGTATTGGCGGTAAGCCGGTAAACACGTAGCGAATCTGGGTGTGTCGTTTACCACAGATTGGCATGTCAACCGTCAAAACGATTGCTTTATATCCTGCAGCCTCTGCACGTCTAATAAGACTCGCCATAATATTTCGATCTCCTAGAATGTCTGTTTGGAACCATTTCAATCCATCAGAGCCTGAGGCGACGTCTTCAAGCCTTGTCAATGACCAGCAACTCAGGGTCATGCATGTGTCATTTCGGGAGCTAGCTGCGGTTGAGACAATAATAATATTCATTAGCTTTTTTTGAAACCTATCAGGCTATCAGCTAAATTCCATTCTCGAAACACAATAAATGGTTATTGCAACACGCAACAATGGAAATCAAAGTATATATGTTTGACGCGAAATGAAAAGGTTTTATTTTCTGATCAGGTAAAAAGTTATCACTTTCAATACTGACTTAAATACTTCTTAATTTTCGTATAATCCCCGAGCAACCATTCTGCTCGGCAGAATTCAACTTTAAACATTAACTTTAGGATATGCATCGAAAAATCCCGCCCATAAGCCCGGGTCGGTCCCTAGTTTCCAAGATTTGTGTAAGACAATAAAACCTGGTCTTATACACCTTATTTACCTAGTTTAAACTTTACTATGATCAACTGCAAAGCCTGTTGAACAACCATAAACATTCAAACAAAATCTAACCTCTAGCTGTTGCAAGTTCCCCGTCGGGATGCGCAAGTTTCTGCATGCCAGTCGGTGCTATACAAAATGGGACTTCAATTTTTTCACCAAGAATCGATGTTGACATGTCAACGGCGGACACATTTCGCAGAACTCGTGGTAAAAGTTTTAACCTGAGAAAAGAAGTTTGCAATCTAGTTATAATTTCGGTTAAGGTTACAAAGCATTGCAAAAGCAACAACATTTGAAATGGCCCAGAGGGCTCAATGGACGACTAGCGCATCAGACTAATTTCTTATCGAAGCAATAAGAAGAAAATAAATCATCACAGTCAGAATGATCTTACTTAAATTAGTGCAAATGCAAAGTCTACCTGCGATAATTTGTTAAATACGGAAAATATATCAATGCGAAGATGGCGTATTTTGTAATGTGTAACTAAATTAATTGCACACTTCCGGCCGCAATACAAAAGTATACAAAAATCGTGAGCTTTTAATGGCTATATGTTCCGAAATTTACAACAATTCGCAACCAAACTTGGCACTTTTACTAAGTTAAGTAAGCTGTTTCTGAAAATGTCCTTTTTATCTCCCGGGTAAGAAATAAGTCTAAAGTCTCCATTGCCACTTATGCAGATCTTGTTCACAGGAATACTATAAAAATGGTTAAGAATTGTCAGCCGTTCTGATTGTGATTGATAGAATTACAGTAGCTTGTTTCTGAACGAATTCAAGTGGTGTGAAAATCAAATAACTCATCAATTTTAAGACAGAAAATTTCTATTTTTTCACTTATCAGTCGTGTCTACAAGGCCGATGAGAGGAGCTCTAAAGCAAAGGTGAACCCGAGGTACTTACCCATTACCCTGCTCGATTAATTGCGCTCAAAATAGCTACTTTGTACTTTCCAATAGGATTACAGAATCCTCTAGTCGATTTCAAGGTCTTTTTATTTAGGCCGAATTTACACATAGATTACAAAAAAAGGAATTTTTTTATCAAACGAAAAAGTGCACGAGCTTTGTTTTTTAGCGATTTTATAATTATATTGAACGCTAGCTGTGGACGATTCATAGATGCGATTGTTAAAAAAGTTTTTTTTATTTTCTACGCGAGGTAGTAGGATCTTTACAGTTCCTACTTTCTAATATTAACGTTCTTAATGTTCTTTTCTTTGTCTTCTCTTGCTCTTAGAATCTTCGTTGCTTTCTGTCCTTTCGGATTCTCGTTGTTTTTTACCCTGTCCTTTGTCGATGGTTCAGTAATGTTGAGCTTCTTTAACGTTCCATGTGGCTTTTACTCCGTTACTGAGTCCATGAAGTTTCGGGTGCTGTGCACCTTCTTTCATAATAAAATTTCAGGGGATCTTGAAGACGCGCTATGCAAAGTGGTGTGATTCACACTATCCAATCAACGTTGTATGGTTACAAGTGTGAGTTGCCGTTAGAAGCTCGGTCCAGCTCTCGTATTTTGTTTACTTAAGGGCGTTGACACACTAGTCGAGTTGGTCTTTTGCTTAATCGATCATTGTTAAACTCGTTCACAACTTAAAATATTCATCATCAATTTCAAGTACAGTTACCAAATTATTACTCTGTGAACCATATCTCAAACTTACAAACTATTTCACTAATAATTTTATTGAATTAAGCTTTTCATGACGTAAGCTTCAAGTGCTTAACTGAGCAAAATATAACAAAAAAACGATTAACACAAAGTGACACTTGAACCTTGCACGACAGTACTATTGTTTGGGAGGAAATCCCATGGCTGTCACCTCATGACAAGAAAAGTAATCTTATGATGCCGAAGGTCATAATAATATTTAATATTTGACATGTTGTCTAAGTTATTTCCTCATCGATATTGACCTTCTATTTTTTTACAATGCTAAATTACATTATATATGCGCATTTAGTAACACGATACTCCAGCTCTAAGGGGCCGATTCGCAGGCAGAAGGCGCGGGTGTGGTGAAAGGGTCCAGGCAATAATTTTTTCGCAGGTAATTCCTGGGAGAACAAGAGCGCACCCCCCCCCCCTCTCTCCCCAGTGACAGCATTTGGCAGCCGCCAAGAGAAGGTCCCTTTTGAGTGTAAATATTAGCAAATTAACTATGTTTAGCTTAGGCTGCTGAGATGGTCTCTTCTCCCAAAATGAAGGGAGGCAAGTCAAAGACAAGAAAATCAGAAAATTTTCTAGGGAGATCCCTTAACCCCAAACAAACTCACCCATCCTTAAATAAACATTTTCTACTTACGAACTATTTGTGCAAGCCCTCCCCTCTACTAACAATTTCTTAAGGAAGGCCGTGTCTTGTTTAGATTGTTTAGAATATCCAAGCAATGAGTTTGCTAGTCCTTAGCTAAACAAAACGCCTGTTCTGGCGTTAACTCCTTCGTAAATAAACCGCATGATACGTTCACTTTGCCTTTGGAATTCGCGATTATATATAGTTATATTAAATCTTCAATCCTGTGCAAACTGCGACGTGTCAACGCGCCCATACACGCGACCACATCTTGTTAAACGGTGAAATAGCAGCCATATTATTAAAATAGGACCAGATCTAGAATATACATGCATTAAATATATTCTTACCCCAATTATTTAAATCTAAACTTAATCGAACAGCATCAGAAGACGGTTTGTTCCTCTTGGAGGAATTGCCGTAGCATGCGTGCGAAATCAAATTGCGCATCGGAAAATTAGCCAAAGCTGTGCACCACAACTCTTGGGAAACAAAACTGTGACGTATAATAAATACGGTCACATACACTTTTCACACACTTGTGACGACGAAAAATAAAAAAAAAATAACAAAACAAAACCGAGGCGAATTTTCAACTCCGTTGCTCACGCCGGAGTAATTACTCTTGCTGACCGTTTTGCCAAACTCAAGCAATACTGTAATTGCAGTCTTACCGTTTAAAAGCTGCTGTTGATTCCGAGATTGTCTGCTCGTCATTCGCTGCGGAGGCGTAATAATCAAATACGGCCTTTGGCAGAAAATCTTTAGCGAAAATTTCAAAATCGCGAATACAGACAGGCTCGTGTTTCAATTTCAAGCTTTCCATTTTCCGTTAGTCTTTATATCTACAAATTTAATAGCGAATTAATGCGTTATCATTTGATTTCTATTCAGTTTGACTAGAAGCTCACTGAATTTTGAAACTCCTCATTCCAGAGAATAATTTTAATGAGTTATTGCAAAGCACTACATATACAAAGACGGTGTATAAATGAGCAACACTGAACATTCATGCCGGATATTCGCTTTCTATTCGAACACAAAGATCTAATATCGACAAACAAGCCAATTTGTTAACCAGAAAGTTAATTTACATGTGCAAAACATGTGTTGTCTAGGTGACAATAGTAAGCCCACTAAACACAAAAGCGATAGCTGCTCACTGAACTTGACGGTTGCACAAAGCGGATATCCTGACATGCAACATCGTTTGTCCATAAAAACGATTTCTATATAGCTCTACAACTATTAATCTTCAGCTAATTACATTTCTCACGACGACTAAATTGCCACCGCCATTTTTGGGATACTTTTTTTCTAAATCATGAGGGTTAAAGTTAAAGACGGCGGCTGCATGTCTTTGATTTTAGGCTTTATTTTATTCTTGAAATGGTCTTTTGACTCTTAAAAAGCTTTTTATATGCCCAAAATAGCGCGGGATACAGCAGCACACATGATATATAGCAAAATTTGCATCCTTTCACTAGCTGGGTTGAAGTTAATTGTATTTTCAATAAATAGTCGTTCTATACGTGAATTATGGAGTTGGGATTGCAGATGGTAGATTGTACAAATTTAATACGAATTAAAGCCCTGGCTTGGAAAAACCATACGCAAAAGTACTCAAATTACATTCGCCGCGATATTGCCTTTACTAAATTTATTTTAATTTCTCATGCGAAGCGGTCACAATTTCAAACGCCGTGAATGCATGTATCTTACTTTATAAATCGATGCCGTCGATGCCTGATGCTTCTATTTAAATATATTTGTAAATCGATCATAATAAGATAACAAGTTTTGAGGATAACTTTGAAGTCACATGACAGGTTTTTTGTATCGAAACTCACGATTTTCAAGTAGAATTAAATTTAGACATGTCATTCGTCAAGGTAAATATAATCTGGTGAGTGTAGAGATGCTATATTTCTCTGGATCTCCATAAGCGAGTTCGGGCATTACCAGAAATTTGGGACAAGATGGCGTCTTGCATTGGGATAAAAACAAACATGGCGGCCAAATTTCATGCGAAACAATATGGCTTAATCACAAAACTTTAAATTACGCTTCCTATGTGTGTTTTTTCTTGGTTCGGAGTTCGAATTCTGTAAATCGCTCAGAAAGGAAGAGTTATAACAAAAAATATTCACTCACTAGCAAATCCTCTAGGTTCCTGAGTGCGATTTATATACAAGTCCAATTTGAATGATTCGGCTATATAAACCATAGTAATATCGGTAAACATGCTCTGGTCAAATACACCACTTTCCTTTTGGACGATGCAAAGTTCGGAGTTGGAAATGTCTTTGGTTGTGATATAGCTACCGATATAACTCATAAATATCTTCGTATTTTTTACCGCCACGGTTCCCACAGCGTTTGAAATTTCATGATTTTTCAGTGTGTTAAGCATCCGGCCATATACATTTGAAGCATAATTATAATTGCATAATTATACCATCGAGCCATTTTATGAAATTTTCACCATTCCTTGGGTCAAGAAGCGGACGCTGCCCACGAACGCGGACGCAAAATGTCTCAAATTTCTGGTAATGGATTAGGCTTGCTCGAAAACTCGTCGAATGATAAGCTTGTAAAGCTTCAAGAGCGGTACCTTCAGCCAAGAAACTGTTTGCTCCTTCTCGTTCCTAAAGTTAATTCAGAGTTATGGGACGATTTCTCCGACATCGCAAAAGGCCGAGAACTTCGCCTTGAAAGCTTACAAAAGCAATTCGTTAAAAGTGTTGCATGGCAAATAAGATGGTTAAAGGCAAGGCACCGCAGCTGAAACTATCCCCATCGCAGACCTTTACGCTTTAGGTATTGATTCGGTCACATTGTTAGCGGCAATGCTGTTTACGAATTCTCAATCAGTGAAACGTAGAGAATTGCTTATTAAACTCGGTATTACTTCAGGATTGTCTTTGCCCGGTTGACAACCAGTGCGTTTCGACGAGGCTTTTTGGCGACGAATTGTCCCAGAGTATTCGGAATATCGCTCAGATTAAGCGTGCTACATGTATGTCCGTTAAGAACGCTGTGAGCATTTGTAAGTTTGAAGGTTATATATAGACTAGTTCGAGCAGGAAGGCCGTCGACAGAGCGGTCAATCAGTTCGTTCACAACAGCCACAATAAACAACCTAGTTGTGTGTCAACCCCAGGTCGATGGCCGATCAAAACTATTAACCACGCACAAATTGCTCTATGATAACTTCTGATCCCTGGATATTACATACAGTGCGCCAGGGTTATCGTTAGCGGACGTCAGGCTTTAAGTTTTCGGCAGTTGAAACACGAGAATTATATTTATTTACTTGATTTGGAAGTAACTAAGTAAGATGTTACAAAAGATTGCTATTCGTAGATGCTGATATAGTAAGGAGGAATCCCTTTCAAATCTGTTTTTCGTTCCTAAGAAGTCGGGCGAGATGCAACCCGTCATAAATTTAAAGTTATTAAACACCGTTGTCAAGTATATATAAAATTATATACATTTAAAATGGAGAATATCAATTTTCTCGTTGAGTTGCTCCGACTAAATGAATTTGTTTTAACAATTGATTTAAAAGACGCCTATTTGCCGTTCCTATATACATCATGATGATTACCATAAACATTTGCGGTTATGGTGGAAGGGTCTCTATGCATTTATTGTTTTGGCTTTTGGCTTATATTGTTTACCGCGTGTTTTTATCAGAATTATGAAACACATTCTAGCCATTTGCCGCGGCAACGCCGCAAAGGCATTGGCCTTGTGATTTATCTCGACGATATCGCTGTTTTAGGCAACTCCTACGCTGATTGTGTATCTAACGTTGGCGTAGTTGTCTGACTCACTTGTCTCCATTTTACAGGAAATGAGGTCTTATATTATATCATTATTAGTCGCGAAAAGTCTCGATTAGTTGCATGTCAGACTGCACTACATCGGTTATTTAATTAATAGTTCCTGCGAGTTTACTATTTTTGCTGCCATCCAAGAAGTTGGCTATAATTACTTTGGCAAAGGACTTAAACATGTACATGTTCGCTGCGCTCTTCAATAAACCGTTTTGGTCGGCTAAGTCTTCCTAGAAAACTTGCTTGCGCTTTCGTTTGTTATAGAATATTCCTGTTTTAAAGAGGGTATCTTGAATGTGCATCACAGCATGCTGAATGATGATTGGTTGATGCCAAGTACCACTTATTAATACACTACTTGCAATTGATTCCTGATACCTGATCAACCTCTTAGGGAATATATAGCTATGATATAAAAGCTTTGTATACAAAGATAGTCTCAATCTAACCAAGTATTTGATTCATTTTCGAAATATTATCGTCGTGTTTTTTATTGTTACAAGGTATACCACGCACCAACTGCATTAAAGGTAGGAAATTGAGAAAAAACCTTATGTTATGCCAGTAGTTTTCTCGAGCGCGGCAAAACTCATGAGCGATCAAAAATCATGTGATGATCAGCTGATACCTGAATATGTGTGGCGATCTATGGGTAGCTATGTCGTGTAAGGTCTCAGCACTCGCATGATCTTATAATGTATGTTACATTGCCATTCCTTACTATAAATTACCAATACTATTATTTACTACTTTTTGCTATTATTATTTTACCCGCTGTATGATTAGTTAATTTGAAATCTGAATAAATGCTGTCTATTAGCTCGTATCTTTCTAGTAGAGAAACGTAAACAAAATGGTTAATAAAATGGACAATAAATTTCAAGTTTTACATGGCTAAAATGCACTTTGAAATGAAAGTATTCAACGGTAGCTTAAAAACTATAGATGTAGAAAATGTATGGTTTTATTTCTGATTCAGTTCTGTTTCCGCATTGAAATGTTCAGGATATAGCGTTTATTTACTTAAGTTTTAAGAAAGTGTATTCAGCATTTCTGCAAATTACGAATAAATTTGAAAGTTGTTTTATCCAGCGCTTGTGTATATATAGTAAAACAGTTATTCTCCTCGTTCTCGTCGCATATCAGTATTTACTAAGGGCTGTTTAATACCTCAAAGTCCTCTCCCGCTTCGTTGAATCTCGGGTAACCGGGCTCATGTAAACAGGCTTCCTTAAAACTAACTCGGTGCTGCGTTCCTGCATGGACAGTCGTTTAGCTGCTCAATCAAGTCACATGCAGAATATGCGTTCAAGGGCAGTTGTATGAAAGACTATAGTTAAATTTTAACTGTAGTTAAGGACATAATTGGCCAGTCAGAGTTATGTATTTCTGAGTTAACTAAAATTTAACTAGGCAAAATGTAGTTGAAGAGTTTTATTCAACTAGCCCCTTTCCTTTAGTTTTGATTGAGTCTACAGAACATACGCACATTTATAATTCGCTTAGTTTTGATCGAGTACACAGAATATGCGTGCGGTGTCGTTAAGCTTCGATCAAGTACAGATTATATACAGAGAATACGCGTACATCCGTTTATTTTTTGTTCGAGATCACAGGATATGCATGCAGTGTCGCTTAGCTTCGATCAAGTGCACAAAATATGCGTGCAGTCGTTTAGCCTCGATCAAGTACACAGAATATGATACTTGGGTACGCATAATAAAACGCACTATTCCTACACTTTTTGTTAACGTAACGTGTCGTATGCTATAGTAAACAGTTCTCACCCGAAGTTGACGTTAAGCACAAAGAAAATGGAAGTGCTTAAGTTAGCATGAAGAAACAGGAAGTTGAATCAGACACTTAATGCGATATGATGGTCGCAAACATGTCCCATGCGACAAATGTTTATTTCGATTGACCAAAATAAGGATGGAAGAATAAGTTTTGCCCCCAAAAAACCTATACTGTCGGCAGAGACGTCTCAGACAAAAACGGTATTCGTACCATTGCCCAAAGAAATCAAATCAAACTGTGCAGGCTGCTGAATATTTTAAGAAATTTTGTCTTCATGCACTTAAGATTTAAAATCAACAGGAAACATTTAAGATTTTTATGAATAAAGTTGTGCTATTGTAACAAACTATGTTAATTAAATTACAAAGATTATATGAATACAATTATATAGTAGAAAAGAGCAGAGACTATCTTAAAGTGTCAAAACAGTGTCAGTATTCACTGTCAAAGTTTCCTTATACAAAGCATTAAAAGGTAAATTAAAAGTTGAAATCAAGTATAGGTATGTACAATATATATATATATATATATATATATATATATATATATATATATATATATATATATATGTATATATATATATATATATATATATATATATATATATATATATATATATATATATATATATAGGCAAAAATGTTCTCCGTGTTTACCATACTTACCCTTGACGGGCATATTCAAACCTAAGAATGTAAATTGTCCCTTTCCCTCACCAGCTCACTCATTACGAGTGCCTAGGCCTTGGGACCCTAGGAGGCGATTTAAAAGGAGAAAGGAACACACACACAACCCAAGCCATACGTCCATTCAAAGCGTTAATCAGCTGAATGTGAGAGATCGATTTTACGTATTTATCAGTGCGAATGTACATTCTTAACATATCAAATGTCCAAGTGCCACACAACTCATCTCATCGTCGTCATGAACATTCTTACAATGCAGGAAATAAGTATAGTTAAAATTACGTAGGTATCCGCGCCAAGTAGCTACTTTTTAATACTAATCTTAAATCTAAAAAGTAATCTTAAATCTTAAAAAGTACTTGGCGCGTATTTTTAACTATACTTATTTCCTGCATTGTAAGAATGTATAATATATATATATATATATATATATATATATATATATATATATATATATATATATATATCCAAATAATTGACTGTAACAAAAAGATCACAGAACTTGACAATGGTTGGAGAGCGCTCAATACCATTACTGGCAGAGCGATAATATATATTTATTGAAAGACTAGCTTAGCTACTCGGAGTTTCACGCTATAAATGATCGCTTTATAGCGTGAAACTCCGAGTAGCTAAGCTAGTCTTTCAATAAATATATATATATATATATATATATATATATATATATATATATATATATATACACACCCGTTTGCAAAAACGTTGGCCGCAGATAGATATATAGATAGATACTCGAAATCTAATTAGAATTGCATATGTTGTGTAATATGATTGAAATCCCATGCAAATGATATGCATTTCTAATTAGACTTCGAGTATCTATCTATCTATCAGCGGCCAACGTTTTTGCAAACGGGTGTATATATATATATATATATATATATATATTAATATATATATATATATATATATATATATATATATATGTTAATTTTGCGGTGTCATATTGACACTAAAAAAGGTGTCAAATAAAAAGGTACAGAATAACACCATATCGGGTGCTAAATTGACACCGCGAATTAAGGTGTCAAATTAGCACGATCTTTGGTGCTAGTTTGACGCCTACTTTTGGTGTTAATCTAACACCTGAAGTTTGTGTGGATTAGTTTTTGCACTTTTAGCGCTAGCAATGGAGCGACTAAATAGCATAAGCTATAATCATACGAAGTAGACCAAATGCGATTAAAAAATATTTATTTCTTCATATGCTCTGACTGGAAAATCTACGTAGCTACAAGAATGTTTAAAATTTTTACGGTACTTAACGTCCTTCAAAAGTTTTTGTCCTAAGGCTTCCCGACGAGAGCAGTTTCCAAAAATGCACACACATTTGCCACACCAGCAATGTACTCCATGTTTAGTAGATAAAATGAAGTTGAGTCTGTTCTTTGATAAGTTAACATTTGCCCCTCCACCGCAATCATGAAAGTTTGAACATCTGAAAGGTCATCTGAACGAATTAGCCTTGGGTCCTGATCTATGAAATCAACAACGTATAATAAATAACAAATATTTTTAAAGAGGACTTTAACAGTGTCTAAAAAACAAAATCAGCCCATAGAGTTTTGTCACACTTAGGGTTAGGGGTAGGTATGTCGAACAAAGAAATTTGACAGTCAATTATCTGTTTGGATTGTTCGTCAACAAGAATTATGGCAAAGTGTTGAAATAGAGCACTTGACATCAATCCAACAGGTACCTTCTATCAACATGAATGCTGTAAACTAAAAGCAAACTTACCTCTGTAATAAGCTGAAGTGCAGGATATTCTTCTAAAATTGTTTCAACCTATGGCCTTGTTATGGTCCATGAACCCTGTATCAGAATGAATTGAATTATCATGTTTAACAAGTCAGATCCATTTAATAAAGGGTATATACGTATAATAGAGGTGCTATACTGTATTTTTTGATAGCATGCCTACAACCACTACCAGATTCAATTTCCTACTCCCAACTATTCAACTATACTGACACCCTAGTTCAGGAACATTTTAAAATCAGGATTAGGATTTTCAGGAATATTTTCAAAATACAAACCACACAAAATACAAAATCTAAGATGAAAAGGGTCGACAGAAACCAAGTTTGGCAAACACAGATAATCATAAAGATTACAACAACAAGGTTATCACTTACTGTTCCACAACCACAATTGAGTCAGCAAGGAAGGGATATTTCTAAATTATCATAGATGAAATAATTTGTTTTTCTTCCATGGTTGGATACATTAATTGTATACACTTTCATTGTTGACAGTAAATATCCCTTCATACCCTTGTCATATCATTAGAATTACAGTTTCCCCTTAATTTGCCACATTTGACGCCTTCATTCAATCTTGGTGAAAACTTGAAATAGACAAGAATTATAATTAATCATAGGTATTGTAGATTTATTTATAGTTGATAAATGTATCAGTCCACAATTCAACCTCACTATAGAACACAATCAATGGCTGGGCAATTGAATGACTGACAGTATTTGTAAGAATACAAGTTGAATTCAAATTTTTCAGCAGGCTATTAGATAGTACTTTCAGGTAACCTGTAGGAGATTTTATGTCTCAATAATGTTATCAAAAGACATATTACATAGGCACATATATTCCATGAAACAAAAAACGTTCTCTAACATCAAATGTATCAAATAGGGCACAAATTGTCAACTGCTAATATAGGATAAAATATCGTTAAATTACATCAATATAAGAGCCTAGCGCAGATGCTTCATAAAATCACGGTAAAATAAACATGAATAGATACCTATTATTGCAATGATATTTTCTTTGACCCAGATTGCTAAAGAGATCATCGCAGTATTAAAAGTAGAATTCATTTGGCTTCTCTATAATAATAAATAACACACATTTGTTTGTTTGGCGATTTGGCCGTTTGAGCGAACGTGGTACTCGATCAAATTCAATTCAACTTACCAAGATATTTCTGAGATAATATCATAGCCAATTGTCTTGATATTTCCTTATGTGAGTCCGTTGCTGTTCAGCATATTTAGAAGTACCAAAATAGTTAAGAAAATACGCTGAAAACATCTTCAACACTGCAGTATGAAATACGATTCAAAAGAGTTTTCAAACGACGCGCTCAAAATTTGCATACAGGCGCTGATCACGTGTTATATTTTGTTCCTTATATGGACATACATATCAGGCGATTGCGAAATAAATACTTTGTAGCAATCAATACATAAGCAGCAGTCCGAAAATATAGCACGGAATAACATAGTTTGATGAAATGAAAAGGACAATGCATCACTATCGATGTACCATTTGTCTAGTATTCGTCTCTATTGGGTTTTTTCGTATCATAGGAACAAGCCGAATTTCCATGTCGTCAGATCACTCAGATGAATAGTTGTGCGAAAACGCACAGGAATTTCTTGTTCTAAAACATTGATTCGAAAATACAGATTTATTTTCCAATAACTTAAATAACCGCTCTTTCCCTATCCATTCTGTCTGAAAATGACTTTGTAATAAAGTCGAAAATTCTCTACCGCTATTTAGTGTTATTTTGACACCCCATACTTTAACTCTCAATCTGGCGTTATTTTAGCACTTTCCGTCTGCGAAATAGGTGCTATTTCAGCACCTTGCAATGGTGCTGAAATTATAAGGTGTCATATTGGCACTTTTAGCGTAATTTCAGATTTGGTGGTGTTAAATTAGCACCGAAATTGGTGTCAAAATAGCACTTTCTATTTAACACCACTGCAATGTGTTGATTTGGCACCTACGCTGGTGCTATTTTAGCACCTCAAAATTAACAGTGATATATATATATATAAATATTATAAATATATATATATATATATATATATATATATATATATATTATATATATATATATATATATATATATATATATATATAGATAGATAGATAGATGGTTTATTGACTTAAAACTTGCAGCCTCGGCAATAGGCTCCGGCTGAAAAACCTTAAGTGTTACAAAAAGTATGATCTATGTTATTAAAATCCATAAAAGTGGAGGTTCAATTGGTAAAACTATCTATTTACATTATTTAGTGTCTCAGATATATTATACGTATTTACTAGAATTGAAATTGATAAAATCGTTTTTAAATCTAATTGTTCTACAGTTTGGAACTTGAAATATTCTTCTTTCTCTCAGAGATGCCTCAGATAGATTTAATGCTGGTAATAAATGGTGTAATTTGTCTTGCGGATCATTAACAATTTGCCGAAAAAGTTTATCGGTCAAATTTTGTCTTCGATCGAACAGTGACAAGAGACCTAGTTGATTAAGTGCATCCTCGTACGAATGTTCGGGGAGGATTATTCTGCAAGCTCGGCGTTGTAATCTTTCGAGATCGTCTGACAGGTATTTTGTAAGGGAATCGTGGAATACTTCGCACGCGTATTCAGCAACCGGCCGAATACAAGTAACATAGAACAAGAGAAGATCCTTGGATGGTAACTTTGCCCGTTTCAATTGTCGCAAGAAGTATAGACGAGTTGAAATCTTCTTGCATACAGTCTCAATATGTTTATTCCATTTGAGGTTGTCGGAGATGGTTAAACCGAGTAGTTTTTCACACTGGACTACTTCGATGTTTTTGTCGTTGATAATAATAGGATCAAACTCTCTCTTTACAATTATAATAACTTGTAGGTACACCACGTAAGTATTAAATACTGCAAAGCTTTCGGTCCGTTAACCCGGACCTTCATCAGTGCAATTACTTGAATACACGTTTGCGCGTCACTTAAATATCATGTTAGTCGTGATTAGTTTGCTCGCGCTATTAATTAAACGGTTTCATTTAATTAAGTTCTAATTCATGCGCGCGCCCTAGACAAGTATTTGACTAAGAGACACCGAAAAGAGCACGCCACGTACTATTAAGTGGCTTTCCCTCTTGGACGATAGTTTGATGTTTATAAATTTCAATAGATTCTCCCATTTTACGAGAGACAGTAAACTTATCGTTTGCTAAAATGGTAGCATCGTTCCATTTAATGCGATGATCATAAGTCCATGCATGGTGAGCTACTGCAGACTTATCCAGTTTACCTTTCTCGCAGTTCGTCTTATGTTCTTTAAGACGTATTGAGAGATTTCTACCGGTCTCTCCAAAATGTCGTTTGTTCTACCGGTCGTTTTAGCAAACGATAAGTTTACTGTCTCTCGTAAAATGAGAGAATCTATTGAAATTTATAAACATCAAACTATCGTCCAAGAGGGAAAGCCACTTAATAGTACGTGGCGTGCTCTTTTCGGTGTCTCTTAGTCAAATACTTGTCTAGGGCGCGCGCATTAATTAGAACTTAATTAAATGAAACCGTTTAATTAATAGCGCGAGCAAACTAATCACGACTAACATGATATTTAAGTGACGCGCAAACGTGTATTCAAGTAATTGCACTGATGAAGGTCCGGGTTAACGGACCGAAAGCTTTGCAGTATTTAATACTTACGTGGTGTACCTACAAGTTATTATAATTACTAAAGTCGCCATGCAATCATACAAGAAAATTATCTCTCTTTACAGTTGAGAAACTTATTCGAAGTTCCTTATATATATATATATATATATATATATATATATATATATATATATATATATATAATATATATATATATATATATATATTAATATATATATATATAAATGTTTAATCTAGAAATATTGTCATCGCTACACGGTGTTTCAGGCGAATGGATACATTTGACGGTTTTTGACGCGTAAGGATCGCATACTAGCGCGTGCGCCTAAGGTTTGAATTTGTGCGCACTGTATTTAAAGCGGTGTCTACACTTAGAAAACAACTCCGAGCGCTTATTCAGCACTCTGTCTTTGTCTGCTTTCAAAATAAACAGCTTTTCTTCCAGGCAAAGGTTGCAGCTTCTCCCACTAGGTCTAAATATAGGGACATGCTTTAGAAGGGACCACTTGATTGTGAATTCTCTTTCGCTTTGCTTCAATTTCCACGCATACTTCGAGAGCTCTGTTTCCGTCGAATATTTAATATTGTTCATATAGACTTCTTATGGTTGGCAAAACGTTTCTTGAAGTCTCCTGCTGTCATTCCAATATATTCCTTCGTCTTTCCGAAAAATTTTTTTTTTTCTTTTCTAAGAAAATCATAACTATTCTACGGAAACAATATATATATATTGTACATAGCTATACTTGATTTCAACTTTTAATTTACCTTTTAATGCTTTGTATAAGGAAACTTTGACAGTGAATACTGACACTGTTTTGACACTTTAAGATAGTGGAATTAAAATACAAAGTTTATTCTCAAGAGCTTTCAGCTTCCCACATCTTGTTTTAAGGATTCAAAACTCCCAATTTACCTTTACTCTTAAGTTTGGATTCACTGAGGCGTAAGGTGCGTAAACTTTACAGGTATGCATAAACCCCCATTTAATTTGTATTCTAAGAAAATATTTTACAAAAATACTTTTGACAATTTCGTAAAGTACCTGCCTCCCCCGGTATGTCTCTACGAAAAAAAGCACTAAATCTCAACAAAATATCGCTAAAACCTCAGAATGTAAAATAATATATTGAAAAACTCTCGCTCTTGGTTTACACACAAATCACACCATGCTCAGAACTAAAAAACCGTTAGTTTTTTAATATGCCCAGTGCTCACGTGTAGCATGCGCAGGATGTCCACGATATTGACAGTTCCGACACATTACCCCGTATACACTCTGTAAGAGGTGTATACCATAACACAACGAAATATTAAACCTAGAGTTATCGTCAATGTCTCTTCTCATTCATTTTCCCTTCCTCTACTCATGATCTGCGGCTTTGATATGTTCTTTTCGGAGTTTTGCTCCAGCTAATGCGTCTCGCCGGGGACGTGGTTCGAATTCTACCGCATTTGGGTTCAGAATCGGCACTTCTGTTACAACATCGCACGTCAGTTGTAACGGAATAAGCAGCTGCACAGCCCTTTCTAGAGTTCCTTTTGAGGTCTTCAGACATACTCCACGTATCACGTTATCCTTTCCAGAATAGGTTTCTTCTATGCTTCCTTAATTAAGGCCACGTACCTCGATTTTTGTTCTCGTTCTGTATTTACACAACATTTAGACTGTAACTTGCTCTTTCTCCAGATTTGGACTGAAACTTGCTCTTCTTGTGGGTCATTTTGTACCTCTCCCGTAAGACTGCCAAATATTCCTTTCTCCATGCGTATCGTTTTCACTGGGCTGCAAGGCGGGGGATCCAGAACGTCTCTCGCACCGCCGCCATTTTTCCTTACTTACCTTCGCATCCCACGAGAGTTTCGCATCGCACACGTCCCGGAACAAAAATTTTTCTTCTAAAATCAGAGGGGAAACCAACCCGTCGGGGACAAAATCTTCGCCAATTTGCGCAAGATACCTCTCTTCTTCGCTGGTGCTTCCTCATTTGGGAATTTTAGTTTCGTGTAGGTTTTTTTTCTCGTATTTCAATTTCTCTTCGAAAGCATTTCTCTCCTTTTCCGGCGTGCAATCGTCCTGCCATTTCTCCAAGCGTTTCACTTCGTCGTCTGCTATTCCTAAATCAGTCTCTACTTGAGACTTCCACGTAGCAAGATCGATCTCATTCACCTTTTGCTCGATTTTCAACGCTTCTACGTCTCGTCTCAATCTCTCTACCTCGTTTGTTAACACCTTTCAAAGCTCCCAGTTGTCACTTAATCGCAGTATCTTTATTAGAATCAAGAACTGCATGTCTGCATCGGTTCGCTCGCGTGTCATTTGAAGTTGTGTTAATTTAACGTCGAATGTCGACATGGCATTTTTTTCTGCCATATTTCGCAAGCAATCGCGTATAAAATCACCGAAATGTTGTCGAATATAACAACAAATTCACTAAATTCCGTCTCAGAGGTGGCACGTTTCGTAAAGTGCCTGTCTATTCTCCGGTATGTACATACGTCTCTACGAAAAAATCACTAAATCTCAACACAATATCGAATGTATATTAAATTCAAAATGTAAAATAATATCTTGAAAAACTCTCGCTGTTGGTTTACCGTTAGCTCATTAATATTAGTAGCATGCGCGGGATGTCCACGATATTAACAGTATCGACAACAGAATCTATGCACAGGGCTGTCGCTAAAGCTTATTTGGGGAGTGGGGTGTAGTCATATATTCATGTTTGTACAACCGTAGACACAAAAAGTAACAAAAGAAATCAGTCAGATATAAGACGAATTTATGTATGAATTTCTTTCTTTTTTGGCGTTTTCACTTTAGACCGTTTTACTCAAAAATGGCGACATTTCCAGATAACATGACTGGATCCACAGAAGAAGAAGAAGAAGTTATCTTGACCGAGGACAACGCTGAAAACAATCGCTTTAGGACGTTAGGTAATTTGGTCAATCCCTCTGGGTCTGACGATAAACAACAACCTAATGCTGTTAATGAAAATCAAAGAAGCGAATGCGGCATCGGTAAGTATGCATAGCATCACCATTAATTATTTTGAAACCAGCGTCCTGAGAGTAGATAGAGCGCAGCTGAAAAAATTTGGTCAAATATTAATTTATTTGATATGGAAATAAGCTTTACAAACAAAACAGCGATATTTTGCAAGATTACCTAAAAGCGGTCCTATTTTCCAAAATGGGGAGCCTTGATAATATAAAATGGGTAGTTTAGTGGGTAGTGGGTAGTCAAAACTAGGTGTTTTGAAAAAAATTGTTACAATCATAGTTGGAAACGTGATTTCTTCAAAATCTCCACTCTGAATGCTGAAAGGACATTTTAATACTTTCATGTCACATATTTTAATTCGCTAGGCGTAACGTTCGAAATTATGCTTCGCCATGGTCATGGCCGTGGCAAGCTGATTCTTCCATTACTAAATATTCTACTTTTAAAAGTACCTCTCGCAATGCAGTATCCTACGTGACGTCACGTTGCAACAGTAAAATCTATCACAGCCTTTCCTTTTCTTAATTTGTGTTGAGTTAAATTACTCGCTATGAGAGTCATCTATCGCTCTTTCTTCCTCATCCGTACCAAGACCGCTTTCGTGTAAACATATCGGCTATCAACCTTGCAAGCCAGGCGTTTCCACCCACGCTCCTCGACGCATGCTATATGTCATTCATGTATATAAGGCATATGTCGTCTAGCACCTTTTTAAAAACTTAGAAACTCATTTACTGTTTGAATTTTGAAGTAGATAATAAGGTGAAAAATTACGCTGGTCTGAAATTGCTCTGGTATTTCTCCCTTTGAGGGCCAATAATATTAAATTACGTTAACCTTTTCTAATTTCGTTCAATTTTTTTCCAAAAGGGTATGGTTTACGGAACGCCCACGCACCAACCCCCTCCCTCCCGTCCCCAAGAAGCGTTTTGGTCTTGTTGATTTTTTCAAAATCCATATTATAGAAATCATAAGTATGGATATGAAATATTTCCAATTAGGAAATAATATAGAGGTTTATATTATCACATATTAAATAATTGCTATTTCCATACTATGAATATAGTATAAAAACAGTATAGGTGTAGCAGATTACATACAAGAAAACAAAATATTTTTTTGAATTATTATTTGGGATTCAGGAAATAGATTTTGTCGTTGAAGGTAGATTTTTTAAGCGCCAGTGAAAAATAGAAATTAAGTATTCCTCTCGATACTTTGATTTAGATATTGATAAAAAGCAAGATTCGAGTGAAAATAGACACACCGACAAAGAAGAGGAAAAACTGCAGTTTTGGGAGGAAATAAGGAAACAAGTTGAATATGGTGAAAACAAAGAAGACCGTTGGAAGAGTACAATTCTTTGGCGTGCTTTTCAGTTTAGTCCAGTAGATGCAGAAATGATCGTATATTTGGTTCACCATGGGGCAGACGTTCGTTCGAAAAACGCAGACGGTGAAACAGTTTTATTGGTCGCGACAAAACATGGTTAACTTGATCTTGCTAAGTGCTTCGTTGAACATGCTCCCGAATGGAGTTTTCAAGAATTGCGTGGCTCTTCACAGCGCAATAGAGTCTCGTTCTTTAGAAATTGTGAAATACTTCGTTGACGATTGTGGAGCTGATATATATTGTAAAGATGAGTCAGGCAACACAACTTTACATCATGCTGTTGCTATTGGTGCGATGGATATTATCAAATATTTGGTTGAACAATGTGGTGCTGATGTAAATACCAAGGATGCCAATGGAAAGACAGTTCTACACATTGCTGTTACCAATAAACTGCTAAATATTGTCAAATATTTGGTTGAAAAAGGCGTTGATGTAAATGTAAAGCGCCCGGATAGGTTTGCAGCTGTCTCCGCTGCAATTGTTTCTGGTAAGTTAGACATTGTGAGGTATCTATTTGAGCGGGGCGCTGATGAAAATGGCAGGCATCCGAATGCATGGACAGCTCTTTACACTGCTATTGATGTTGGTAAATTGGACATCGTGAGATATCTAGTTGAGAAGTGCGCTGATGTGAATGGCAAGAATCCTGACAGGTGGACAGCTCTTTCCGCTGCAATTGATTCTGGTAAGACAGACATATTCAGATATCTATTCGAGCGAGACGCTGATGAAAAAGGCAAGCATCCTGATTCGTGGACAGCTCTATACACTGCTATTAGAATTGGTGAACTAGACATAGTGAGATATCTAATTGAGCAAGGCAGTGATGTTGATGGCAAGCATCCTGACGCGGAGAGGGCTCTTTATACTGCTATTGATCTTGGTAAACTAGAGTTTGTGAGATATCTAATTGATCAGTGCGCTGATGCGATTGAAAGTGGCTCTCGTTGGCGAGAAACGGCTCTTTGCACTGCTGTTGTTGGTGGTAAATATGACATCGTGAGGTATCTACTTGAGCAGGACGCTGACGTAAATGAGGAGCAACCGGATAGATGGGCAGTTCTCTGCACTGCAATTGTTTCTGGAAAATTAGAAATTGTGAAATATCTATTTGAGCGTGACGCTGGTGAAAATAGGAAACACCCGGACATGTGGACAGCTCTTTACACTGCTATTGACGTTGGTAAATTAGATATTGTAAGATATCTAGTGGCGGAGAGTGCTGATGTAAATGGTAAACTTACTAAAAGGTGGGAAGCTCTTTCTGCTGCAATCTCATCTGGTAAATTAGACATTGTGAGATATCTTTTTGAGCGGGAAGTTGATGAAAATGGAAAACATCCGGACGCATGGACAGCTCTTTGCACTGCTATCAAAATTGGTGGATTGGACATTGTGAGATATTTAGTTGAGCAGGGCGCTGATGTGAATCCTGACACGTGGAAAACTCTTTCTGCCGCCATTTCTTTTGGCAAATTAGACATTGTGAAATATCTATTCGAGCGGGAGATTGACGAAAATGGCAAGCATCCTGATGCGTGGACAGCTCTTTGCACAGCTATCGATGTTGGTGAATTAGACATTGTAAGATATTTAGTCGAGAAAGGCGCTGATTTAATTAGTAATGACCTTGCCGGTTCGACAGCTCTTTTCACTGCCGTTGTTGGCGGTGATATGAACATTATAAGACACTTAGTCGAGAAGGGCGCTGATGTGAATATCAAAGGAACTGATGGACGAACAGTCTTGCACGCTGCTGTCAATGCTGGTGCACTAGAAATTGTAAACTATTTAGTTGCACAGGGTGCTGATATTACTCTGAAAAGTGAAGTTGACGATCATAGTCTTGGCATTCACATCTTGAAGATGGCTGTGGTAAAGAATTCGGTTATTTTGGTCAATCGCCTTTTAGACCAGGGCATAGATGTATGGAGAGCTGGGACATTTTTCGTTGAAGGAAGGCAAATGAGTCTTCTTCAATGGAGTATTCATCTTGGTCATGATGAAATTGCAACTATCCTAAAAAGGTCCATAAAACATCGTAAGAAAATTCAGATGTTGAAAACAATTAATTGCAGCCAGTTAAAGGTAATATTTAGTAAATAATAGTTCATACATTAAGGACATTTTTGATAGGTTTCCATAGTAATTAAATTAAATACGAATCATTGAAACCACGCGGAGCGTAGGCCGGAGCTATATAATAGAGAGCTTTAGATTTTACCAGTGAACTATAATAAATAACTGGAATGATACTTCCTCATTGTTTTTGTGAAACCAAAATTTGCGGGACTTTACCTCCAGACACAAATTTTTTTTTTTGGCAAATTTTTGGCTTCATTCGCGCGTGACTCGCGAGACATTGCAGATGCAGAGCGAATTTGAAAGAAATTTGATTTTTTGTTTGTTTCATGGTTTTAAATGGTTTTTTTTGGATAATAATGGAATTACTCTTAAATTCAACCAGGTGTACTGTTTTACGAATTACAACTGGAGTTGCCGATCAGATTGAAAACAAATTTTCTTAAACGGAACAAGTTTATAGCGATGTGCAATTTTGACAACAATATTTGTACGAAACGGATATCCTAAAGCTAAAATTTCATCGCAAAATACACTTGGTAGACATTGTTTAGTATTATAAGTTTATATTTTTTTAATTTCAAGTGACTAGATGGCAAAAAAGTTGTATTAATTGTAGAGTAAAACAAATATTCCTGCATTGTCACGCTAGGCTCTACGCTTAATTTTTCCTAGCAAAGAACCGTCTTACTCCGCATTTCCAATAATAGGTCCATAAAATGCATTCTACCAACATGTCTCAGCCGGCTGTAAGCACAAACACAGTAATAAATGCATGTTTATCCTGTCAAATATTTCGGAAATTTTACGCCTACTATTTCGAAAAATACACATAATTAAAGGCCACGGTCGGGAAAACAGTTCTCTCAAATTATTTTCTGCAAAAAACGAGAAAATGTCAACTTTTATTGCTTTTTAAATCACGTAGTGAGGACTACGAAGTTTTCTTCGCCGTAGTCAGATGAACGATGACTACGAGTGGTTGGCGTCAGTACGAAGTATCACGAATATCACGTCAATAGAGAGGTTAAGATACCCCGGTTCCGGTGTACGGGTACGGGTAGCGCCATTTTGTTTTCCATTTTTCGCTGATGTCAGCATATTTACCCGTAATATCTACCCGTTTTCCCGTTGTAAACGACGGTCTACACGTAAACAACGAACGGGTAACTACAAAGACAAAGTGGTCAAAGTTTTTTTAATAAAGGACAAATGGAGAAGCGGGTGAGTGTCTTTAACACGTTTAAAATACATTTTACGTATTAATATGGTGTTCATATTGTTCAGGCTTCTCAAAAATGGTTTGCAAACATAATTTATGAACGCCATCTTGATATTTTTGATTTTCAAAACAAACACACGAAATACTATAGTTATATAAAAGTTAAGTAGGACTTACAATGGAAATGTATAATACATATTTACTTTTATAGTCAGTTCTTACCCGGTGTTGTTCTTACCCGGAATTTAAGAAAATTCTTAAGTTGCAAACCGTACCCGTCTTACCGGTAACGGGTACGTGTAATTCACCCGTACCCGTATACCGGAACCGGGGTATCTTAACCTCTCTAATGTGACGAATCTCGTAGCGGTAGCGGGAGCCGTAGTCAAACCTAAAGCTCTCCAATCCCCGAGCCGGTGCGGAGCACCGTGCGAGGGTACTAATTCCGCTCGGATATTTACACCCACGATGTGCAAGTGCGAAATCAAAGTCGTCCGCCATTATGCAATGGACCTCACGCCATGGACGGTCTTCTACGTTACGCGCATGCGCCAGTGTCAACTACTAAGCTCTTGATTGGTCGAGACAAAAATTTGTATTTTCAAACGTCAATGAATAACTGTCATTTAGCAAAATTTTGATGAAATTTACAAATTTATATTTTCATAAATATGAAATATATGTATTTTTACTAAATTAGAGGGAAACTCGAATGAGCTCAGGACTTTTCACGGTTTAACAAATAACAAAACCAAATTTTCGACCGAATTCACCGTGTATAATCATATGCATCCCAGGAATACAATTTGTATTTTTATATTCAATTCAAAACTCTCGCAAGCGAACGCGAGTCGCATTGCTCTGGTATAATGAAGTCGGAAGATTCTACACTTGATAATTTTTCATCCAACACAGGTAAACACAACTTTAATATTCTCAAACGTATTTCACTATAAATCTGAATGTGTTATGTGATAAACGACATTATAATTTCATTTATAAACTCCGTTTTCATAATGACAAAAAGAGAAGAAAATCAAAACATTCCCGTGAAAAACCAGTGGAAGCGTAACATAAAACTTCGGAAGTTGTATGAGACGTCTGATGTTATATTTCATAGACATAGGTATTTAATAATTAAAATAATTTGCCATGACACTCACTATAGATGAGTAACTTAACTTCCATAAAAAGGTAAAAATCTTGTCGTATTTTTGCCATTTTTTCACAAAAATATGACGGTAAACTTTGATTCTTTAAAAATATACGAACTTAACTAAACTTTGATTCTTTAAAGATATACGGCCGTTGCGACTTGCGAGTTGCTATGACTACAGTGTTTCCACGCGCAGAAAAATATTTCCATACTTTTCTCTTTTTCTATTTCTCACATAAATTTTCTAACAATCATGTTACCATCCCTACGCTTAACTAATTTCGTTTAACCGAGGTGAGGGGCGGCCCTGTTTATTTCCTTAGCTTTAAGAATGTGTGATCTAACTTCACCAAAAATTTACTTAGGTTATGTATGAGTAGCAGTATAGAGAACATGCGTGTATATTAATATATCGTAAAAATATTCATGGTTTTTCGTCAATAGGCTGAAATACCGATGCAGGCTTTTATCGCAAGCACACAATTCAAGATTGGCGATGGTGGATTCTCGTGTGTCTATGTTGGTATCCTGAAGGATGGAAGTGAAGTTGCTGTTAAGAGAATTTTAGTTCAAAGTGAGGATAAAACAGCCGAAAACGAGAAGGAAATTATGAGTCTTTTTAAAACGAATGACTCTTCATTTACTGTAAGCTATCGGCACTTTTACCGTGATGATACCTTCATGTATCTCATTATTGATCTTTGCGAAGAAACTTTGAGAGAACTTGTTCATGAAAGCAGTATTGGACATCTACAAGAGCATGGTCCACAAATGATCTGCGAAATTCTATCAGGACTAGAATTTCTTCATAGTAAAGGAATATTGCACAGAGATCTAAAACCATCAAACGTCCTGGTTGATGTCGAAGGTCGCATGAAATTGGCCGACTTTGGAATAAGCCGCGTTCTAAAGGACGGTAAATCCACACTTAAAACGTATGCCAAAGGAACTCCGGGCTGGATGCCGCCGGAAGTAATTGAGGCCATAGATAGAAACGAAGAAGGTGCTTTCAAAAGAAAATCTGACGTCTTTGTTGTGGGTATGATTGCTTTCTTCATCTTAACCAAAGGTGAACACCCTTTCGGTTCTTCGTTAGATCAAATGGGAAATATTATGAAAGGAGACGTTGTAAATGCCAAGAAACTTACTGATCCTAATGCTCGAAAGTTTGTGTCGTGGTTGATCAATCACAGGATTGATGATAGACCTTATGCACACGACGCGCTGAGGGATCCTTTCGCTAACAGAGACTGATAAAAATCGAAGAAGTGCATGATGAAAATAGTACAAACAAGCCAACAATGAAATAATTTGTTCATCAAATGTGTATAGAGATCAATTGAAAATGACACGTTTTTAATACACAAAAACACACAGCGAGCAACAAAAATCGAAATTTTGTGCATCAAGACATAAAAATATCTATCACAGTTCAGTTTCTTTGAAATTTCGTTCAATAGAGGTTGTATATTCTTCTCGAATGATTTGAAATGTGCCGAATGCAAAAATTTCTTGAATTTGAGACATGTGTTTTGAATCTCAATCCTATATTTCCTAGCCATCTTGAAAAAATGTAAACAGATTGCCGCGCCAAAATGACATACGACAATTTTTCACTTTTGAAGCCGTGTATGGCATTTTTGAAGCGTGAAAAAATAGTAGGCCTAATCAAATTGCATGAAGTTTAATTTAACCAGTGAAATACGATTTTTTTTTTATTATTCTAGTGTGCATAAATCTCTATACACATAGAATAAGCTATTTCATAACCCCAAAATAACAGCAGTATCCTTTCGTTGTTGAAGAAAAAATTGAGTAATTGATCGTATTCACTACTTCACATTTTGGTGGTGCTTTTGCAATATCCATTTAGAGAATATTAATACGTTAATTTTCATAATTATGTTCATGTCGATAGTTTATTTAATATAGGCACCCTGCTAAAGAAATAAGCTTTGAGGCGGTCATGTTTATGTCCTTTAAGAATACATGCAGTACTGTTCAGAAATAACCCAACACTTCGGTTGCGCTTCCGGTTGCGCTTCGGTTGCGGTCGACCGATAAAAACCGCAGAGGACTGCAAGGGGAAAAATACGATCGCGGTTGCCTTTTTCTTCCGAATGGAACGTTAAGAACTGCTAAGAACGACGACACAGTAATCATATCGAAAACATCTTAAGCCCAGTTTGTATAAGATCGTTATCTGTCGCTACCTGTCTTTTGGAGTCTTTAGAGTGATCTTGAAAAACCGATAACAACACAGAAAAACCGAAAACGACAATGTCGTTGGGATAGGACAAACCCTATCTCAAAGACATATAACGACAAGAAACGACGAAATTCTGGCCAAAACGGTCCGGTGACATACGGAAAAAATTGAAATTCATACCAAATAAGTAAGGAATACCATAATATTGAAGTATTATAAAAGAATATGAAGTATTCTCTATCATGCCGACGAAGTTTAAGGACTAGTTTATGGTACGCGCAAAGCTCTTCTCGCTTCCTAAATATTTCTCTGGCCCAGAAGCGAGTTTTTTCTTGTTGTCAAGTCGTTGACTTTCGGAAAACGTTTGATTATTTTATGTTATTAAGGCCTATCTACACGATAAGATTTGTCGTATACTATTGCCATTCTGACGAGTAAACACGAGTTGATGACACATTTTTGTTCATGCGCTGATAACGAATTTTAAAATCTAACGTTTGTGCGCGTGTTTATTCAATCACATACGTCAGGGTAAGAATCTTTATAGGTCTTTCAAGATTATACTCCAAAGTCACGGGAAGACAGGTGGCGACAAATTCGAGGTTCAACCTCGGTTTTACCTCGGTTTCACCTCGGTTCAGCCACGGTCAGAGCTCGGTTTGACCTAAGTTAGCTGCGGTTTTTGTTTAAGTTACTTTTGTATAGCACTGCATATGTAGATCTAAATAAATTTATGAAAAGCTAACTTGTACCACGTGCATGCAAGCAGTATATTCATTATTATTCACTTTGCAATTGATTCGAACAACATGATTTCCGCTGCATAGATAGTTGAGGAATAGGTGCATAACTGCATAGCCATAGATCTTATATTGGTCTCATTTGATCACAATAAATGTAAAATTGGATATTCTTCGTAATCAGATTTCATTATTATTTACTGAAAGTGTTATATTATCTAATGGTGCCTATGCATCAGACCAGTGGCATAGCCAGCACGATAATTGGATACCCAGGATATCCTGTGTTTGGATACGCAGGATTAATTCATTTTCAAATCAATTGTTTTTACAGTCTGTTAAGATGAATATATTATAAACATGCCCCCCCACCCAATCGCTCTCCACGGAGACCCCTGATAAGCAAATAATATGCATGTATATTTTACAGCTTAACACGGTCTCCTACATTAACGCTTGTATTCAAAACGCTCACTCACACTCACACTCATTGAGTGGGAGATCCTAATCTTCTCATAACGTTTCCATGGTGGTATTCCGAGCCGGTATTTCGGCTTGATTTTCAGTGATTTACCTTCTCATTGACCAGCATTAACAAAATTTATATGCCACACTCAATGAGTGTGAGTGTGAGTGAGCTTTTTGAATACAGGCCGTAAAGGCAGTTTTCCACTAGGTGGAATTTTTCGATCGAACGAAATTTTTCGCTCGATTTTCTTTTCAATTGTGACCGGTGAAGGGAATCCGCCACGGTCGAATTCTCACAATTGAAAAGAAAATCGAGCGAAAAATTTCGTTCGATGGAAAAATTCCGCCTAGTGGAAAACCGGCTTAAGTCTTTTACTGCTTTATCCAGGATCCCTGTTTCATTAATGAGCTAATTTCTATATTTTGATCAGTATTTCTCAACCGTAAGATGTTTACACTGGCTTTTGCCAATATTATCTTTCGTTGACGTATGCCAGTAATAATTTACCCGTAAAATTGCTTCTTGAAAGAAACAATTTCAGCGCATGTTTTATATCTATGGGACAGGATTTTCTTTGATTATCAAAAAAGCTTTAAACTGGTGACATTATTTCCCTTCAAATTATAATTGTAGGTATCTAAAAAGATGATAGATGGCTCCTTACAATTTTAAAAATATTAAAAACTCGTGAATTAGATATAAATTTTGGCAGCAGATTTCTTGCTGAAGGAAAAAGATTTTTCCCAATACACTAGGTAACATTCTAGGCAACATTCTAACAGTCATAAAATTGTCGATAAATATGTTAATATGACTATTCACCCACTTTGCTCGAAAACGAGTCTGCTACGCCAATATTTAAATTTTTGAAAACCTTAACAAGTAAAGGAAAAATTAGAATAAGTCTAAAAAAATTCGTCAAAAAGTATTATCAATATTTTAAATGTCACAAAAATCACTTTTTTATTCTTAAAAAATCTCGCCAGGACAGAATTTTTCTAAACTTGTTTAAATTTTAAATTTTCGCAAGAAAACGTTTTAAAAAACGTTTCTCAACGATTAGTTAATATTTAAGATATTCCAAACGCTCTCAAATAATATTAAGACACAATACGATTCAATTATAAAATTTACGAGGGGGTCAGAATCCGTGAGAAGAATATAACTCAAATCTGCTGGCGGAATTGGACCCCTGTAGGTTTATATCCGCTAGCGGATCCTCCGGTTCAAATATGGGTATGGACCAGGGTCTATTTTTAGCCGGGTCCAAATCCGCTTTGACAACTGTAAACCGGGCCGTAGCTAAAAGCGTAATTAGGGGTGCTGGTTTATATTCATATATTCATCTATTGTTCCTTTGATCTTTGAAAATTATTATATGATGCAAGATACAAGAAGAAAAAATTCGACAGAATAAAACTTCGTTTGGGAACACGGACTGCCAGTTAGGGCTCTCAACGTTCTATCATATGCATATCCAACAGAAGAGGATACTTTTGACCTGAAATAGAAGAAGCAGTGTGGGTCAAGTAAGATAACCAACTGGTGGCATTTTACCAAAATAAAGAAATTTGTTCAATTTGACTGCTCTCAATTCAAAAGAAAATATGCAAATATTTCGCTGGCTAACATTTCCCTGCAGGAGGAAATCCAGCCAAAGCCAACATACCGTGCCAGAATTTTAGGCCAGGATCTCCACAACTTATTTGCGTATGGCTCATAGAGGGCACCAACATAGTAAAAAAAGAGAAACAAAGCATTTTAAAAAGAATGCATAATATGTCATATTAACACAGATCCCTCTCACGCTTGTGTTGTCAATTGCAAGGAAATTTCCTTGCATTGTGGAAACCCTTATTGTGGCTAATTGCCTATAATTGCAAGAAATATTCAAAGAATTCTGGTCTTTATAGTTAAACAATGTTGCGAACTAGACTTCATAATAAATAAGGTTTTTTCTTCGTTTTAAGAGAGCATCACAGCACACGCTAATAACGAATAATAATTTTATTATATGCCACTGAGGACAGCGGGGACAGTCAGCGATGAAGGTAGGTTTGCTGGAGTGTAGATCACAAAGCTCTTTATTTAACATATTGTCAATGTTGTAGGGTATAAACCATTGAAGCCAGGAATTTGATAAATAACCTTGTGTTCTATCACAATAATTTGTTTCAGTACGACAGTGCTCAGAATCCATAAGAAATTTTGTGAAATGCAGTGCATTTGCGCAAGGATTGTGAACTAATGGTCTAATTACTTAACTTCAAAACAGACTTTATCGATTGCTACGTTAGAGGAATTTTACTCATGAGTGACTTGGGCTATGTTCACGCTAAACTTAGAGACCACGATATATCTCGCCAATAATCAACCGGCAATGGTTATCCTTAGGTAGGGGCACTAAATTTAGGGTTTCATATTCGCAAATTCGTAGCCGTGTGACTGCCGGATTTCATTCGACGAAAGCGAACGCTGTTACGGTGATTAAAAATGCTTCAATATACAACCCCAATTAAGCGTGTTTTCCATTTAATCGTAAATGTGTCGTGAACAAGTAATTTTAACCGATGACAAATAGTTCAGATATAAATTTATCTTTTATTATTTCTGAATTCATTGTTGCATGACTGCACGCACATAGAAATATTCTATCACATCAGCCACAATGACATGTTCACAACATGCATAGATTAAATGGCAACCAGGCATCAAATTATTGCGTATAGTTTGAGCCCTTCGGTGATGTGGTAAAGTATTTAGCTATAATTTTAATGATACAATAGTTTTAACTGTATACAATTCAGCCTTTAGGTTGCAAAGTAATTTTATTAAATACAAATACAAATAAATACAAATAAATATACAAATACAAAGTATTCCCAAGCGACAGTTTGAGAATCGATGTTGTCTCGTCACTTTTTAGAATATTGTAGGGTATAACTTTTTTAAAGGCAGTAAATGGGTCAATCTTTTCGCTGCGCTCACTCGTGAGAAATTGTTCACGAGAACATAAAACTTATTTCTCCGAGGGGACCGTGTAATGCATGTTCTGTTGATTATATCCACTAAATTCAGAGTAACAAAAGTACACAAGCCATGAAGGACCATTATAAAAGCGAATATTTTTCAAATTTTAGCCTAAACATTAAATTAGAATAAATTTTACGTATCTAAAATGTCTTTCAATTGTTTTCGTTTGTATATCCAACGTTAATTCCGTTTTACATACGAACCAAAGACATTTGTATTTTCACAACAACAGCAATGAAAGTGGCCGGAAAATTTTTAAAACTCGTTATGTCACCCCTAAACATGACGTACCGTATGACATTTATATGACATAAACATGACATTTCATGACGTAACATGTCACATACGAAAAATATCCGCACTGTACCCCGGATGTAGTGGCGTATGAGTTCTACGAGTTTTTTATTCCTCAGTAAAATACCCCCATCCATATAATAAAATGAGGATAATTTCTTCTTCAGAGCCCAGCTTAAGTTAATTTCCTTTAATCGTAATTCTTGTTAACATGTCAAGGTGGTTGATGTATTAGAATACTGCTGTGTGTTTGCAGTGAACAATGACAATACATAATGACTAAATTGCCTGCTTAATACCTTGGGAAAACGGGCGATGTTTACTTCACTTTTATGACTGTATTGGTTTCTGCAAAATAGAAACATTTATGAGCTTTCCTCTCATTCGAGTCATTTCATAAATCATTAACTTAGCCTGAGTTCTGGCTTAGGAAATATTCCGCTTCGTTTGACATTACGAGGGGTTGTTTCATGTATGTAATTCTGCTATGCGTTTTAAAAATTGAATAGAAGTTTGCTTTTTAGAAAGGTGCACATGCAACATGCCATTGTCATATAAAGTCTGAATTGTTTTAGGCATAGCCGTTTTGCTCAAAGATGGCGACTTCGCCAAATAAGATGAGAATGACTGAATCCATGGAAAATAATAATGTCATCATATCCCAGCGTGAGGAGAGTGACATAAGTTTAACTTTGGCAGAAAAGAATCGTACAGGAACATCTGGGAAATTAGATGATACATCTGCGCGGGGAAATAAACAATCCAAGCCTGTTGTTAATAATGAACAAAAAGGAATTGAAGTGGAACATCAAGGAGAAAACATTGAAAACGAAAAATGTCATAATGGTATGAAATTTTGTAATTATAATAAGTGGAATGAAACTCGCAATTTGGTTAGTAGGCGTGCAGGATGAGAGAATCCCGCACGAAAAGTTACAAATGTCTCATTGTATTTATTTTATAAAGCAAATACTAAATGCTTCCTTGACTTTCAGAAAGCGTAATAAAACACTCGCCTACGATTCGTGCTTCTTCACGCTTTCGAAAAGTCTTGCAATATCCCGCGTGGAGTATCACGCTATCCTGAACGGAAATCATTTAGTATTCCTTTATTATTATATGTGTATAGAGATTTATGCACAGCAGAAGATGAAATAAAAATAACTGTGTAAATTAATTTTATGCAATTTGATTGGACGTACGATGTTTTTCACGCGTGAAAAAATGCCTTACACGGCTTTTGATTGGACGTACGATATTCTTCACACGTGAAAAATTGTCGTATGTCATTTTGGCGGCAATTTGTTTACATTTTCTTTCAAGATGGCGTCGAAATATAGGAGTGAGATTCAAAACATAATTCTCATATTCAAGATATTTTTACATTCAGCACATTCTCAAATCTTTCGGAAAGAGTATCTAACTTCTTTTGAACAAAATTACAAAGAAACTGAACGGTAATAAATATGTTTTGATGCATAAAGTTTCGATTTTGTTGCTCGCTGTGTTTTTGTATATTAAAAGCGTGTCGTTGTCAAATTGATCTCTATACACATTTAATAAACAAATTACTTCATGGTTGGCTCGTTTGTACGATTTTTATTATGCACTCGTTGCGAAGGATCGCAAACTCACTCGTTCGCTGCGCTCATTCGTTCGTTTTGCGATCCTTCACAACTCGAAAATCATGAAGTAATCTCTATTTATAGAACATTTATCTAAGAACCAAGGTCAAGAACCGAGGTCAAAAACTTCAAAAAAAGCCCTTCCTCGAAACGTGCATGGAGGTTCTCTCTGCATTCTTCAAGTATTCGGCTTGTCGTCTTGATATTAACATGACAAAATTTCTGGACCCTAATTTGTCAAGAGAAGCACAGTGATTTCTCTAATTATATATCTTCTGTAATCTTTGGAAAATGCTGCAATTTCATTGGCAACGCTTTCGAGTTGTAATTGCTCTTTTGCTCATAGCTAATAAAAATCACTCCATTAGTACATACAACTAGCCAAGCAGCAATCAGGATACAAAATATAAATTATACTAAATCTTAATAATTTCAAATTCTACTATTTACTAAGCATTGTTCTGATGAATTGTAATGAATTTCAAAAAATTGTATCTTTAGATATATAAACCTTTGTTTTGTAAACGCTCGTATGACTTGGGCATTACTTTCACTCCCATTCGTTCTATTACCATCATTAATTGCACGACTCAATAATAGTCATAACATAACGTATTGCAAAGATTTATAAAATACCTTAAAATCTGCAACCATGGTATATAGGCACTTGAACTTCAATAATATAATAGACCTTTCTTAAAATGTCGATAAACGCCGAAAGTCTGATCTTGCACGAAATTTGATTGGCTCCTTAAAATTATCCTGCCAATCAAACTTCGTGTAACATTAGACTTTAGCGTTTTATATCATCATAAAAAAGATCAATTGTCAATTTTCATCAGAATAATCCTTGGTAAATAGTACAATTTGAAATTAATAAAATAGAGCATAACTTAGAAATGACATTTTGTATCCTTAATGGTGATTGCCTATGAGCAAGAATGCAATTAATGCTCAAATCGCACTCTTTAGTCAGTGGAATTGCAGCATTTACAAGATATACAATAGATGCCAAAATCATACTCGTGGTTGGCAAATCAACTCACGCTACGTGCTCGGTTGAATTTGTAAACACTGGTATCATTTTGGCATTAAATGCGCTCTTTTTCGCTCTATTAATATCATTAATTATACCAAAATACAATTACTTTACTCATTTTTTCAAAATAAGCAAATTTGTGTGAAGATATATATTTACATTGAAACTTAAAGGCCGTCAAGGAAATAAGAAAGGCCATGAAAGTAAACGAAAGTACTGAATAAAAAGTCATATTCAGACTGTGTTTAACAAATAACTATCAAGTTTGCATTGAAGTTGTACGAATTTATTATGTTAATACCCCATATATAGAAAGTGATAAAAAGCAAGGGGCAAGTGGAAGTACAAACGTCTGTGAAGAAGGAAAACAGAAATTTTGGGACGAACTGAGAAAGCAAGTTGAATGTGGTGAAAACAAAGAAGATCGTTGGAAGAAGACAATTCTTTGGCGTGCTTTTCAGTTTAGTCCAGTAGATCAAAAAATTGTTAAATATTTAGTTGACCATGGAGCAGACATTTATTCCCAGAACGAAGAAGGTGAAACAGTTCTTTGCAACGCGACAAGAAATGGTTTACTTGATCTTGTTAAGTATTTTGTGCAATATGGCCCTGAACATAATTTTCAAGATGATTGCAGAGCTCTCCAAAGTGCAATACAGTCTCGATCATTAGAAATTGTGAAATATTTCGTTCAAAAGGGCGCCAATGTAAATGGAAAGGATTCTGATGCGGAGACCGTGCTGCATTTTGCAGTTAGTAAAGGTACGCTAGAAATGGTAAAATACCTCGTTGAAAATGGTGCTGATGTAAATGGAAAGGATACTAACGGGTGGACTGTGCTTCACAATGCTGTTACTGAAGGTAAGCTAGAAATCATAAAATATCTTGTTGAAAATGGCGCCGATGTAAATGGCAAGTATACTGATGGATGGACAGTATTGCACTATGCTGTTAGCGAAGGTACACTAGAAATGATAAAATATCTTGTTGAGAAGGGAGCTGATGTAAAAGGTAAAAATACTGACGGAAGGACAGTACTGCACACTTCTGTTACTAAAGGTAAGCCAGATATAGTGAAATACCTTGTTGAAAACGGGGCTGATGTAAATAGCACGGATTTTGACGAGAGGTCAGTTCTACACAGCGCTGTTACTGAAAGTAAGCTAGATGTGGTAAAATACCTTGTTGAACATGGGGCTGATGTAAATGGTAAAGATACTAATGGGGACACAGTGCTGCATTTTGCAGTTAGTGAAGGTACGCTTGAAATGGTAAAATATCTTGTTGAAAATAACGCTGATGTAAATGGAATTGATACTGATGGGTGGACAGTGCTGCACAATGCTGTTACTGAAGGTAAGCAAGAAATCATGAAATATCTTGTTGAAAACGGTGCCGATGTAAATGGCAAGTATACTGATGGATGGACAGTATTGCACTATGCTGTTAGCAAAGGTACACTAGAAATGGTAAAATATCTTGTTGAAAAGGGAGCTGAAGTAAAAGGTAAAAATACTGACGGAAAGACAGTACTGCACACTGCTGTTACTAAAAGTACGCTGGATATAGTGAAATATCTTGTTGAAAAAGGCGCTGCTGTGAATGCCATTAACAGGAAAAATACTAACGGGTCGACAGTGCTGCACAGTGCTGTTGCTAAAGGTAAGCTTGAAATAGTGAAATATCTTGTTGAAAACGGCGCTGATGTAAATAGACCGGATATTGACGGGTTGACAGTTCTACACACAGCTGTTAGTAAAGGTACGCTGGGTATAGTGAAATATCTTGTTGAAAAAGGCGCAGCTGTGAATGCCATTAACAGCAAAAATGCTGACGGGTCGACAGTGCTGCACAGTGCTGTTGCTAAAGGTAAGCCAGAAATAGTGAAATATCTTGTTGAAAACGGCGCTGATGTAAATAGCACGGATATTGACGGAAAGACAGTTCTACACAGTGCTGTTACTGGAAGTAAGCTTGATATGGTAAAATATCTTGTTGAACATGGGGCTGATGTAAATGGCAAGGATCCTGATAAATGGAGAGTGCTTCACAGTGCTGTTACTGAAGGTACGCTAGAAATGGTAAGTTTCCTTGTTGAAAATGGTGCTGATGTAAATGGCAAGGATAGTAACGGGTGGACAGTGTTGCACAGTGCTGTTGCTAAAGGAGCACACGAAACGGTAAAATATCTCATTGGAAAGGGTGCTGATGTAAATGGCAAGTATATTGACGGATGGTCTGTCCTGCACTACGCTGTTTCTAAAGGTACGCTAGAAATGGTGAAATATCTTGTTGAAAAAGGCGCTGATGTAAATGGTAAGAATACTTACGGTAGGACAGTGTTGCACTACGCTGTTACTGAAAGTACGATAGATATAGTAAAATACCTGGTTGAGAATAGCGCTGATGTAATTGGTAAGACGACTAACGGACGAACAGTGCTGCACAGCGCCGTTACGAAAGGTACGCTAAAGGTGGTAAAATATCTCGTTGAAAATGGCGCTGATATAAATGGTAAGAATTCTGACAAATGGACAGTCCTGCACAGTGCTGTTAATAAAGGTACACTAGATATGGTAAAATACCTCGTTCAGAATGGCGCTGATGTAAATGGAAAGAATACTGATGGGTGGACAGTGCTGCACAATGCTGTTACTGAAGGTAGGCTAGAAATCATAAAATATCTTGTTGAAAACGGCGCCGATGTAAATGGCAAGTATACTGATGGATGGACAGTATTGCACTATGCTGTTAGCGAAGGTACACTAGAAATGATAAAATATCTTGTTGAGAAGGGAGCTGATGTAAAAGGTAAAAATACTGACGGAAGGACAGTACTGCACACTTCTGTTACTAAAGGTAAGCTAGATATAGTGAAATACCTTGTTGAAAACGGGGCTGATGTAAATAGCACGGATTTTGACGAGAGGTCAGTTCTACACAGCGCTGTTACTGAAAGTAAGCTAGATGTGGTAAAATACCTTGTTGAACATGGGGCTGATGTAAATGGTAAAGATACTAATGGGGACACAGTGCTGCATTTTGCAGTTAGTGAAGGTACGCTTGAAATGGTAAAATATCTTGTTGAAAATAACGCTGATGTAAATGGAATTGATACTGATGGGTGGACAGTGCTGCACAATGCTGTTACTGAAGGTAAGCAAGAAATCATGAAATATCTTGTTGAAAAAGGTGCCGATGTAAATGGCAAGTATACTGATGGATGGACAGTATTGCACTATGCTGTTAGCAAAGGTACACTAGAAATGGTAAAATATCTTGTTGAAAAGGGAGCTGAAGTAAAAGGTAAAAATACTGACGGAAAGACAGTACTGCACACTGCTGTTACTAAAAGTACGCTGGATATAGTGAAATATCTTGTTGAAAAAGGCGCTGCTGTGAATGCCATTAACAGGAAAAATACTAACGGGTCGACAGTGCTGCACAGTGCTGTTGCTAAAGGTAAGCTTGAAATAGTGAAATATCTTGTTGAAAACGGCGCTGATGTAAATAGACCGGATATTGACGGGTTGACAGTTCTACACACAGCTGTTAGTAAAGGTACGCTGGGTATAGTGAAATATCTTGTTGAAAAAGGCGCAGCTGTGAATGCCATTAACAGCAAAAATGCTGACGGGTCGACCGTGCTGCACAGTGCTGTTGCTAAAGGTAAGCCAGAAATAGTGAAATATCTTGTTGAAAACGGCGCTGATGTAAATAGCACGGATATTGACGGAAAGACAGTTCTACACAGTGCTGCTACTGGAAGTAAGCTTGATATGGTAAAATATCTTGTTGAACATGGGGCTGATGTAAATGGCAAGGATCCTGATAAATGGAGAGTGCTTCACAGTGCTGTTACTGAAGGTACGCTAGAAATGGTAAGTTTCCTTGTTGAAAATGGTGCTGATGTAAATGGCAAGGATAGTAACGGGTGGACAGTGTTGCACAGTGCTGTTGCTAAAGGAGCACACGAAACGGTAAAATATCTCATTGGAAAGGGTGCTGATGTAAATGGCAAGTATATTGACGGATGGTCTGTCCTGCACTACGCTGTTTCTAAAGGTACGCTAGAAATGGTGAAATATCTTGTTGAAAAAGGCGCTGATGTAAATGGTAAGAATACATACGGTAGGACAGTGTTGCACTACGCTGTTACTGAAAGTACGATAGATATAGTAAAATACCTGGTTGAGAATGGCGCTGATGTAATTGGTAAGACGACGAACGGACGAACAGTGCTTCACAGCGCCGTTACGAAAGGTACGCTAAAGGTGGTAAAATATCTCGTTGAAAATGGCGCTGATATAAATGGTAAGAATTCTGACAAATGGACAGTCCTGCACAGTGCTGTTAATAAAGGTACACTAGATATGGTAAAATACCTCGTTCAGAATGGCGCTGATGTAAATGGAAAGAATACTGACGGGTGGACAGTCCTCCACACTGCTGTTACTAAAGGTAGCCTGGATATCACAAAGCACCTGTGAAAAATGGCGCTGATGTAAATAGTAAATATACTGACGGTTGGACCGTCCTACACGCTGCTGTAGATACTGGTGCATTAGAAATTATTAAATATTTAGTTGAACAGGGTGCTGACATAACTCCTAAAGGTAACATCAGCGCTCATACTCTTGGCACTGACATCATTAGGATGGCTGTTGCAAACAATTCAGCTTTGGTGGATCTCATCAGGCAAAAGAACAGGGTTGTTCCGAGAGCTGGAAAATTCTTGTCGAACGAAGCCAAATGAAGCCAATTCTTATCGAAGAATCTCAAAATAGTCTCAAAAAGTCTTTAAAACATGGTGAGAAGATTGAGATGTTGAAAAGAATGAACTGCAACATGTTAGAAAAGGTAATTTTTCAAATTAACTGAGTTTGGATAGAAACAACGTTATAAATCATTAAAGGCCCAACCGAGACACCAAACGCACAATTAGTTGTGGGAGAAATGGTTTTTGAGAGAGAAGTGCTTCAAATATAATGTAGAGGTCAAAGTTACCCCTTATAGGCTCGCTACAGCTTAATTCATGTAGTTTATGGTACAATTAATTATGTAGTCCTAGCCAAGGACTCTGGCGTCCTCAGGGGTCGTGGATCCCCATGTTGCACGTCCTCAGGGGTTTAAGTGCTCCCCAGTATTGATCTTCACCCAAGAAGGGGGTCATAGCTCCCCAGATAGATATCCTAAATGTCCAAAGGGGTCATAGATCCCCATGAGGTCATTCTTTACTTAGGTTTAGACACGAATGCATGTAGATTTATGCGAGTCTATGGGGTAGAGGGTGACCTTCGGCAACACTCCATCCCCCAGGACCAATGTTTAATTACTAAAAAAATGCACTGAACAAAGTGTTTTTATTAGCTACATGAAGCGAGGTAGAATGTCTCACAGGTGGGTACGGCATTACCCCAATATACTCTAGATGAACTGTTAGGCAGTCCTTGACGCAACAATATTTACATAAATTTCTGTAAATATTTTTTATCACTTTCCTCATGGTTTTATGCAAATCAGCAAATTAGTGCAAAATCGGTGGATTGTAAAAACTCTGAAATGGTAGACAGGGTAAATGGTAACAGAAGTTACCCCTATGAGCTTTAGATATACAATGCGTCGGATATGTTTGCATGATAATGCCACAATTTTAACAACAGTCATGAGCATTAGCGAACGTTGCTAATTGGCTGCTTGCTAATTACCTTGTGGTGTACTCGTGCAGGATCACGCTGCGGTTTTGGTAAAATTACCTGCAAGATAATTTTTAATGGGTGTGTTTAAAGAGAGTGTTTGATGATAAGCGGAAAACTGGATTTAGGTATTTTCCCTCGCTGCTGGGTCGTAGCAACCAGGGACAATTCAATATAGTAGCTCAAAGGGGTAATTTATGTTAAACCTTTTCGTCGACGGAAGCAGAAAAGGCAGCTTGCCTTTTATATGCTCATGGACATTGAATGTCTTATTTTGTAATTTTTGTTCTTCAATATGGGTTTATTGAAAAAGCAGAAATGCAAAACGTTGAATTCCGTAACAAATCTATTATTTATTTGAAGTTTGAATAAAGGACAGGCGCTATAACGCTATCAAACTTATTTTTCTCCGTGTTGGCCTTAGTAAACCATTAAAGTGCCTTTCTTCGGATTTCTGCCCCCTGCACTGCCCTTGATTGCGTCCGATGCCTCTGCATCTAATAACCATCTCTTTCTTCAATAGACTGAAATACCGATGCAGGCTTTTGTCGCAGAGAGTCAATTCAAAATTGGCGATGGTGGTTCTTCTTGTGTCTATGTTGGTCTCATGAAAGATGGAAGCGAAGTTGCAGTTAAGAGAATTTTGGTGCAAAGTGACGACAAAACAGCTGAAAACGAAAAAGAAATCATGAGTCTTATTGAAACGAACAGCTGTCCATTTATAGTGAGCTATCGTCATTTTCACCGTGATCATGACGATGTGCTCATGTATCTCATTGTTGATCTTTGCGAGGAAGACTTGAGGGAACTTGTTGATGCATCCAGTATTGAACATCTACAAGAGCATGGTCCACAAATGATTAGGGAAATTCTATCTGGACTTGAATTTCTTCATGGTAAAGGAATATTACACAGAGATCTTAAACCATCAAACGTCCTGGTTGATATCGAAGGTCGCATGAAATTGGCAGATTTTGGAATAAGCCGCGTTCTAAATGACGAACAAACGACAGTTGTGACATTCGCCAAAGGTACTCCTGGATGGATGCCATCGGAAGTAACTCAAGCCATTGAGAAAAATGAGAAGTGTCGTTTCAAAAAGAAATCAGATGTCCAGGTCGCGGGTATGATTGCTTTCTACGTCCTAACTAAAGGTGAACACCCTTTTGGTTCTAGGCTTGATCGAATGAGAAATATTTCGAAAGGGAACTCTATTGGCTTGAATAAACTTGGTGATCGCAAAGCTCAAAATTTTGTGTCGTGGCTGATCAATCATAAAATTGATGAGAGACCTTATGCTGACGAAGCGTTGAGGCATCCTTTCGTTGATGAACATTGACACAGTCGAAATACAGAACTTTTCTACGAGATAAAACAACTATCATAAAAATTAATTACGAAAGACGAGATTCGTGGAAAAATAAATCTTATCTGGACTTGAACATATCATATTTGTCAAAATCACAACATTGTTTTCCTTTGTTGTTGAACTTGGTGAATTGAAATGGTCGCATTTATTTTTGTACATGCATTTGGGACAGTGCTGTATTAACTGCCCTAGATGGCCATCAGGCGCATCCAGTTTCACACAAAATGGTGGACGAATTAGTTGAGATAATGAGATTAATTATTACATGACAAAACAAAATGGCGGAAAGTTACTACGCAAACAAATTAAATATCCCTAGAGAATCTAAGAAAGGCCCGAAAGCCAAAACTACAAAATAATGGATAAAAGTCAGAAAGTCAAGCATGGCTTATATTTCGACAAAGGTTGTTGAAGCATCCAGTTCGTTATATTCATTTTCCTTAGATATACAGTACTAGTGTACATAAAAAATCTGCAATCCGCAAAAAAATACGTGTTGAAACCTAGAGTTGCTGGGCACGAATGCTTAAGGATCTCGACCAGGCGCTTCAAATATTTTTTCGGTTTTATCATGCCAATATGCATGCGTCTTGGTCGTGAAATTGCCAAAACCGACTCACCCTGCTTCGCTAGACTAATCCCGAATTGTATTCGCCATCGCATGAGTAATTAATTAACACTTATTCACTGTCAACCGAAGGAAAAATTGTGTTTGGGAACCTGAGAACGGTCGATATTTTACGAGGCGAAGCCAAGGCCCTGACTTTAGGGAGACAAGCGACGTCCGCCATTTTGATTTTGCAATAATAAACTATTATTGGATGAGGTTTTTGTGATATTACTCTGCATATCACAAAAATAGGTACGCAGTGCGTACATGTGGGTAGCCTCTAAAACATTTGCAAAACATTGGCTGCGATAAAGGTATGGTTTGGCAAAGAAATTGTATTCAATGTCAAACTTCAGGCTGCTATAGTGGCAAGTAAATATCAACTAATGCTTATAATTTTTGCGTTGGGTACATTTTTGACAACAGAGTGGTGACATATGTAAAAGTATAGTTACAGAAGAAAGGAAATGCGTAGTTTTCGAAAAAGCGATGGTCGGTGAGCGTTGAATTATGTTAGTCAAAGCAATGATTTAATGTAGCCATGTCATTGACATTGTATGCGAGTTTTCCAAGGAAGTAAAATTGGTCAATATTAGGGGTCAGTTAATTTTAAACAACTAATAAAGCATTACCATATAGAAAAAGGCAGTAACAATCAGTAGTATCAGTACCAAGTTGGCCTATTTTATGAATTATAATACAATATTTCACCTGGCTGTCAATTTTTCGCCTGTGGGCATGCAGCTATTATAACCAAATGCTTCAAAGTTTAAAAAGAAGCTTTTATTTGAACATAACTAACAAAACAATTTTTTAAAAACAAAACTTTTAACCCAAATGCATTTCAACTAAACAAAAATCTTTAAAATATTGTTCAGATACATAGATGAGTCCTTCAAAATTGTTATGCTTAAATGTTAATGTGCATATCAAGTAGTTTATCCTCAATGAAACAAAACTTTAAAACAAACGTGCATTTCAACTGAACAAAAATCTTTAAAATATTGTTCAGATACATAGATCATACATACATAGATTGTTCAGATATGTCCTTAAAAGTTGTTAATGCGAGACATTTGAAACAATTTTGGACTCTTTGTTATATGTTACTGTAAAATGATCTGGCAGATCAAGTAGTTTATCCTCAATGAAATCTTTGTTAAGATCTTTCTTGTCCATATCATATTGACTAGTGGCAAGAAAAACTGCTTGCATTATTGCATCATCAAAGAACATGAGAGAAACCTTTTTCTTCGTTGAAACCTCCTCAACCAGTGCCTGGGCATACCAGTGTTGTACACATGCTGATTTCTTTTGCAACATGGAGCATTTTGGGTTTGGGCATCTTACCTTTGTTGAGTTTGACAGGATGTTTCCATTGTCAATTTTCTTTTTGCATTTAAAGCAAGATGAGTAAGGACTCACATTCTCAACTCCCATCAGTTGAACAGAGCATGTGGTAGTTGGCAAATCTACAGCAACAGCCAACAGCATGTCTACAAACTCAGGCACATCAGGTAATAATAAATAACTCTTATTTATACTTTGGCTGATAACACAATACAAACTGTTTCCACTTACTAAAATTGAGTTTAGAATTGACTTGTCCCAAATATTGACAGATTTAATTTCATTGTAAACAATTGCATATAATGACATAGCTACACACTGTTTACCAGCATTCACACCAAACATTAGCTCATTACCTTGATTAAAATCAGCATGGATTGTACAAGCAGGGTCAACTATATCATTTATAGTCCTAGGACCTGGATTTTCCTCCACATCATTTGAAAGTCTCAGTAATAATGGCACATAAACATTGTGATAGTATATCATTTGAACATACCATAAGAATAAGTCACTGTTTTTTTGGCTATTATGCAATTGGCTCTTGAGATAAGGCAAGCAGAATACATTAAAGTAAAACATTAATAGTAATTGATTCCAAAGTATACCTTTAAGACGACACAGACTGTTGCGACAATCTGTAAAATTGTGATGTGAACCAATCCTGGCGCGATAAACTTCAATAGTAACACCCATATTTATGGTCTAGAACTCAGAAACCAAATGTCAATTCTTGAATTTATAAAGTCTCTTATTTGTCAGTAATCTGCCAGCAAGTCGGCAGGTATATTTGGGTTGCAAGTTGGCAGCGATGTTAAATAGTTTGTTTGTACGAGCACAACGGCTGTCGTTTTATACACCCGCACAATGGCTGGGTTCGATTTCAATACCTGCACAATGGCTAGGTTTAGTTTCAATACCTGCACAATGGCTAGGTTTAGTTTTGATACGTGGCCTTTCACGTGAATAGTACCCTGCTCTATGACGAGCAGTGCGAGCAACAATGGCTCCAGGTTATTTGTTTGATTTTGATTTTTGATACGTGCACCTCCGACACGTAGAGCGCCTGACAAACCGTCAGTGCAGGCAAGTTTGCCCCGAATATATATCTACGCTCCAATAATCCGATTGCGATCGAAATTCCTCGACCACGGTAGAAAAACGAGCGATTAAAATAACAAATGTCAGATAAAATACACAAACTTTAAAGTACTCACCTTTGCTTTAAAATTTGACAAACGTATTAACGTAGTTCGGTTCTCTCATCCGAAAGCCATGAAATTTTCCGGAAGTAGAACGAACAGTACGTTCGTCATCTCTCGTTCATCTCTCGTATATCCGACGATTGCCGAACATGTGGCAACAGACAGACAGACACATCCGGACAACACCGCGGAAAAACGTCTGCGCACGCGTCAACTCTGCCTGTAAGTGAGATTAAAAATAATTAAAAAGCGGTTCCGAACGTTTCCGAAGGCTAAAAATGGCGGTAAAAAGGAGTGATTTCATTCGTGTCTTCAAATCCAAATTTCGATGGCATAAATAAACACTGCATTATAGAAACTAAGAGAAAAAACGTCCAGCGAGTCCTAGAAGTGGCATCCTACAAAAACACCTGTAAAAGGTGACTGTTGACAAATTTTTCGTCTCAAACATTTTGTTTATCAAATAAGCAACGACAGTTTCCGAACTTTTGATTGAGACACGTTTTATTAAAAAAAGATATGTCGCCAGATACGAGACGTTTGCGTGTTCTCAATGATTGAAAATTAAGATGTATTTTACAATTTAAATAGATTAGAAAGCTTAACTTTCCGCGGGTTTTCTTAACTTTTAGGTTTAAACTTTTGTTTTCGAAAAATATTCTAAAGCCACCCCGTGAAAAAAAGGAAAATTTACCGTGAATTCCAGTTCGTTCGATACTCTAAATGCTAGAAGGCTTTTAATTTATGTTCTGTCTGGCCGTCTTGTATATTTTTGCCTTTTCTTAACTTATATTTTTATCAAATAATGGGCATGTTTTGTTCCAAAAGTTGATATTTAGATTTACCATAATATTTTGATATTTCGGCGCGTGCGCAGACATTTTTCCGCGGTGTTCATCCGGACAGTTTTTCGACTACATAGTGGTTAGCCGCGCATGCGCAGGCTACCCACAAAAACCGAATTCAATAATTGTTTTATTATACATTTGAAGAATAGTAAATATAGTATTAACGAATGAAAAACCTTATTTAAAGGCAACATCCAAAAATACATCAATTATTAATACATAAATACATTCAAATGAATACCGCTTGTTAACCACCACAGGCTCACTCAGTTATCTGCAAGCAGATAACTGAATTTTGCGTGATTGCGTAATTTATTTGTCAACTATTAGCTAGTCAAATTGCTTTTACTACTATAATGTATAATAAAAATATTTAAGACTTTATGTAAGCCTAAAATTAATACACTGCACCAGTAAGTATACAACCAAATAAAAAATTGATATAAATCTACTTGGTTACTTTTTTTTGAAAAGACGAAAATGTACTTATTAAATCTGTTTATCTTAATGTTTTTTCTCTTGTTAACTGGTCTCTTCGCAGTGAGATAACTCCCCACCCCCAAACAATTTTCTACCCGGTGGACAGGGAAGTATCTACTCATGAAATACATAATTTCAAATGAAGAACCAGTCTAAAGGTTGCATGCCCAGGTGCGCAGCACTTGACTAAAGTTTTTATTTCCCATGGGAAATAACGCCTTATCTCACTCTGCAGGGAGTCCAGTGAGCGACATCAATATTTCGTCACTCCCGCGTGATTCTCTCTCGACCAATGAAGCGCTACGAAGAACAACCTTGTCAAGTGGTATATATAATAATTATTCGCAATCATTAGTCGCGAAAAATGATATTAAACTCAAAGTAACTTCCAAAGGAGCGCATATGCACACATGCAAAACAACAATTTGAAAAAAATTACAAATAAATAGATTAAAAAACATAAATTATATCATCTGTAGTCTTGACGAAAATGATAGAGCTAATTCAATGAAGGATATCCTTTCAAAAGATTAAACAATAAAGTCTGAGCGCACTTTTAATCCCTTAAAATCAGCAGCCTTTGCAGCGCGAATATATTTCTATCGCGAGGCTTCTATATATTTAGCTAGAAGACTAAACTTCATTTTGCAATGTGATGGTGGTTGAATATTATGTGTATGAGTCGGACCCCGAATTGGACCCCGTAGGTCTCTATCGGCTAGCGGATCCCCGGTACAAATATAGATATGGACCGGGGGGGGGTCCATTTTCAGCTGTGACAACTGTACGCAGGGCCGTAGCTAAAAGCGTAATTAGGGGGGTGCCAGTGTATATTCATATATTCATCTATTGTTCTTTTGATATGTAAACATGATTATATGATGCAAGATGCAAGATGAAAAAATTCGACAGAATAAAACCTCGTTTAAGAACTCGGACTGCCAGTTAGCGTTCTTAACGTATTGTTCTCAACAATAGAAGAGGATACTTTGACCTGCAATAGAAGAAGCAGTGTGTATTCAAGTAAGATAACCAACTGGTGACATTTTACCTAAATAAAGAAATTTGTTCAATTTGACTGCTCTCAATTCAAAAGAAAATATGCAAATATTTCGCTGGCTAACATTTATTTGCAAGAGGAAATCCAGCCAAAGCCAACATACTGTGCCAGAATTTAGGCCAGGGTTTCCACAACTTATTCGCATATGGCTCATATAGGGGGAAGCAACATTGGAAAAATACAGCAACAAAATACTTTTGAAAAGAATGCATCATATATATCATATCAACACAGATCCCTCTCACGCTTGTGTTGACAATCGCAAGGAAATTTCCTTGCATTGTGGAAATCCTTATTATTGTGGCTAATTGCCTATAATTGCAAGAAATATTCAAAAAATTCTGCTCTTTATAGTTAAACAATGTTGCGAACTAGACTTCATAATAAATAAGGTTTTTTCTTCGTTTTAAGAGAGCATCACAGCACACACTAATAACGAATAATGATTTTATTATATGCCACTGAGGACAGCGGGGACAGTCAGCGATGAAGGTAGGTTTGCTGGAGTGTAGATCACAAAGCCCTTTATTTAACATATTGTCAATGTGGTAGGCTATAAAACATTGAAGCCAGGAATTTGATAAATAACCTTGTGTTATATCACAATAATTTATTTCAGTACGACAGTGCTCAGAATCCATAAGAAATTTTGTGAAATGCAGTGCATTTGCGCAAGGATTGTGAACTAATGGTCTAATTACTTAAACTTCAAAACAGACTTTATCGATTGCTACGTTAGAGGAATTTTACTCATGAGTGACTTGGGCTATGTTCACGCTAAACTTAGAGACCACGATATATCTCGCCAATAATCAACCGGCAATGGTTATCCTTAGGTAGGGGGCCTAAATTTAGGATTTCATTTTCGCAAATTCGTAGCCGTGTGACTGCCGGATTTCATTCGACGAAAGCGAACGCAGTTACGGTGATTAAAAATGCTTCAATATACAACCCCAATTAAGCGTGTTTTTCATTTAATCGTAAATGTGTCGTGAACAAGTAATTTTAACCGATGACAAATAGTTCAGATATAAATTTATCTTTTATTATTTCTGAATTCATTGTTGCATGACTGCACGCACATAGAAATATTCTATCACATCAGCCACAATGACATGTTCACAACATGCATAGATTAAATTGCAACCAGGCATCAAATTATTGCGTATAGTTTGAGCCCTTCGGTGATGTGGTAAAGTATTTAGCTATAATTTTAATGATACAATAGTTTTAACTGTAATTCAGCCTTTAGGTTGCAAAGTAATTTTATTAAATACAAATACAAATAAATACAAATAAATACAAATACAAAGTATTCCCAAGCGACAGTTTGAGAATCGATGTTGTCTCGTCACTTTTTAGAATATTGTAGGGTATAACTTTTTTAAAGGCAGTAAATGGGTCAATCTTTTCGCTGCGCTCACTCGTGAGAAATTGTTCACGAGAACATAAAACTTATTTCTCCGAGGGGACCGTGTAATGCATGTTCTGCAGGGCCGTGCCTCCTGGGGGGGTGTGGGGGGGTGTATTACCCCCCCCAAATAAATGCTAAGGGGCCCTGCTTTTGGGGAAGAACTTGCCTTATTTCAGTTATTTGATTTAACAACAAAGCTAAAAATAATTATATTTATGAAGAAAATAACCAACATTTTCGATTTTCAAATGGTTTTCTCCCCTAATGTCTTCTTAAACTAGCGTTTTCTTCTCGTTTTCTCCCCCTTTGAAGCACGACTTACATGAAGTTTTACGCGCTTATTTTGATCACATCAACTGTGGGCTCAAATGTCTGTCATTTTCATCATATTGAAAGATTCTAAGCAGGATTAAAGACAAATTAAGCCGGGTATTTATTCATTTATTCAAAACTTAAGTTTTAGTAAGCTTAAGTTTGTCAAGTCCCGCTGTAGAAATTCAATGGACAATAAAAGACTTGATTCTCTTATGCTTTTGGCATGAGCAAAAGATTTGGCTGAGAAGGTTGATCTCCAAAACCTTGGCAAGGTGTGGTCTGGAATTAAACACAGGCGCATTAAATTGATATGACTGTACATTCCTTCGTTTGGGCAAAATTAAACTTGCAATGGTTAGATTCTAATTATTTGTAACTGTAAAAGATTTACTAAAACATTAAATAGGTTGCGACTTTTAAGGGGGCCCAAAAGTCGATAAAGTGTTGAGGGGCCCAAAATATTGTGACACCCCCCCCCCAATAAAATATCGGTCGGCACGGCCCTGATGTTCTGTTGATTATACCCACTAAATTCAGAGTAACAAAAGTACACAAGCCATGAAGGACCATTATAAAGCGAATATTTTTCAAATTTTAGCCTAAACATTAATTAGAATAAATTTTACGTATCTAAAATGTCTTTCAATTGTTTTCGTTTGTATATCCAACGTTAATTCCGTTTTACATACGAACCAAAGACATTTGTATTTTCACAACAACAGCAATGAAAGTGGCCGGAAAATTTTTAAAACTCGTTATGTCACCCCTAAACATGACGTACCGTATGACATTTATATGACATAAACATGAAATTTCATGACGTAACATGTCACATACGAAAAATATCCGCACTGTACCCCGGATGTAGTGGCGTATGAGTGGCGTACGAGTTTTTTAGTCCTCAGTAAAGTACTCCCATCCATATAATAAAATGAGGATAATTTCTTCTTCAGAGCCCAGCTTAAGTTAATTTCCTTTAATCGTAATTCTTGTGAACATGTCAAGGTGGTTGATGTATTAGAATACTGCTGTGTGTTTGCAGTGAACAATGACAATACATAATGACTAAATTGCCTGCTTAATACCTTGGGAAAACGGGCGATGTTTACTTCACTTTTATGACTGTATTGGTTTCTGCAAAATAGAAACATTTATGAGCTTTCCTCTCACTCGAGTCATTTCATAAATCATTAGCTTAGCCTGAGTTCTGGCTTAGGAAATATTCCGCTTCGTTTGACATTACGAGGGGTTGTTTCATGTATGTAATTCTGCTATTTATAATTTTAAAAATTGAATAGAAGTTTGCTTTTTAGAAAGGCGCACATGCAACGTGCCATTGTCATATAAAGTCTGAATTGTTTTAGGCATAGCCGTTTTGCTCAAAGATGGCGACTTCGCCAAATAAGATGAGAATGACTGAATCCATGGAAAATAATAATGTCATCATATCCCAGCGTGAGGAGAGTGACATAAGTTTAACTTTGGCAGAAAAGAATCGTACAGGAACATCTGGGAAATTAGATGATACATCTGCGCGGGGAAATAAACAATCCAAGCCTGTTGTTAATAATGAACAAAAAGGAATTGAAGTGGAACATCAAGGAGAAAACATTGAAAACGAAAAATGTCATAATGGTATGAAATTTTATAATTATAATAAGTGGAATGAAACTCGCAATTTGGTTAGTAGGCGTGCAGGATGAGAGAATCCCGCACGAAAAGTTACAAATGTCTCATTGTATTTATTTTATAAAGCAAATACTAAATGCTTCCTCGACTTTCAGAAAGCGTAATAAAACACTCGCCTACGATTCGTGCTTCTTCACGCTTTCGAAAAGTCTTGCAATATCCCGCGTGGAGTATCACGCTATCCTGCACGGAAATCATTTAGTATTCTTTTATTATTATATGTGTATAGAGATTTATGCACAGCAGAAGATGAAATAAAAATCACTGTGTAAATTAATTTTATGCAATTTGATTGGACGTACTATGTTTTTCACGCGTGAAAAAATGCCTTACACGGCTTTTGATTGGACGTACGATATTCTTCACACGTGAAAAATTGTCGTATGTCATTTTGGCGGCAATTTGTTTACATTTTCTTTCAAGATGGCGTCGAAATATAGGAGTGAGATTCAAAACATAATTCTCATATTCAAGATATTTTTACATTCAGCACATTCTCAAATCTTTCGGAAAGAGTATCTAACTTCTTTTGAACAAAATTACAAAGAAACTGAACGGTAATAAATATGTTTTGATGCATAAAGTTTCGATTTTGTTGCTCGCTGTGTTTTTGTATATTAAAAGCGTGTCGTTGTCAAATTGATCTCTATACACATTTAATAAACAAATTACTTCATGGTTGGCTCGTTTGTACGATTTTTATTATGCACTCGTTGCGAAGGATCGCAAACTCACTCGTTCGCTGCGCTCATTCGTTCGTTTTGCGATCCTTGACAACTCGAAAATCATGAAGTAATCTCTATTTATAGAACATTTATCTAAGAACCAAGGTCAAGAACCAAGGTCAAAAACTTCAAAAAAAGCCCTTCCTCGAAACGTGCATGGAGGTTCTCTCTGCATTCTTCAAGTATTCGGCTTGTCGTCTTGATATTAACATGACAAAATTTCTGGACCCTAATTTGTCAAGAGAAGCACAGTGATTTCTCTAATTATATATCTTCTGTAATCTTTGGAAAATGCTGCAATTTCATTGGCAACCCTTTCGAGTTGTAATTGCTCTTTTGCTCATAGCTAATAAAAATCACTCCATTAGTACATACAACTAGCCAAGCAGCAATCAGGATACAAAATATAAATTATACTAAATCTTAATAATTTCAAATTCTACTATTTACTAAGCATTGTTCTGATGAATTGTAATGAATTTCAAAAATTGTATCTTTAGATATATAAACCTTTGTTTTGTAAACGCTCGTATGACTTGGGCATTACTTTCACTCCCATTCGTTCTATTACCATCATTAATTGCACGACTCAATAATAGTCATAACATAACGTATTGCAAAGATTTATAAAATACCTTAAAATCTGCAACCATGGTATATAGGCACTTGAACTTCAATAATATAATAGACCTTTCTTAAAATGTCGATAAACGCCGAAAGTCTGATCTTGCACGAAATTTGATTGGCTCCTTAAAATTATCCTGCCAATCAAACTTCGTGTAACATTAGACTTTAGCGTTTTATATCATCATAAAAAAGATCAATTGTCAATTTTCATCAGAATAATCCTTGGTAAATAGTACAATTTGAAATTAATAAAATAGAGCATAACTTAGAAATGACATTTTGTATCCTTAATGGTGATTGCCTATGAGCAAGAATGCAATTAATGCTCAAATCGCACTCTTTAGTCAGTGGAATTGCAGCATTTACAAGATATACAATAGATGCCAAAATCATACTCGTGGTTGGCAAATCAACTCCCGCTACGTGCTCGGTTGAATTTGTAAACACTGGTATCATTTTGGCATTAAATGCGCTCTTTTTCGCTCTATTAATATCATTAATTATACCAAAATACAATTACTTTACTCATTTTTTCAAAATAAGCAAATTTGTGTGAAGATATATATTTACATTGAAACTTAAAGGCCGTCAAGGAAATAAGAAAGGCCATGAAAGTAAACGAAAGTACTGAATAAAAAGTCATATTCAGACTGTGTTTAACAAATAACTATCAAGTTTGCATTGAAGTTGTACGAATTTATTATGTTAATACCCCATATATAGAAAGTGATAAAAAGCAAGGGGCAAGTGGAAGTACAAACGTCTGTGAAGAAGGAAAACAGAAATTTTGGGACGAACTGAGAAAGCAAGTTGAATGTGGTGAAAACAAAGAAGATCGTTGGAAGAAGACAATTCTTTGGCGTGCTTTTCAGTTTAGTCCAGTAGATCAAAAAATTGTTAAATATTTAGTTGACCATGGAGCAGACATTTATTCCCAGAACGAAGAAGGTGAAACAGTTCTTTGCAACGCGACAAGAAATGGTTTACTTGATCTTGTTAAGTATTTTGTGCAATATGGCCCTGAACATAATTTTCAAGATGATTGCAGAGCTCTCCAAAGTGCAATACAGTCTCGATCATTAGAAATTGTGAAATATTTCGTTCAAAAGGGCGCCAATGTAAATGGAAAGGATTCTGATGCGGAGACCGTGCTGCATTTTGCAGTTAGTAAAGGTACGCTAGAAATGGTAAAATACCTCGTTGAAAATGGTGCTGATGTAAATGGAAAGGATACTAACGGGTGGACAGTGCTTCACAATGCTGTTACTGAAGGTAAGCTAGAAATCATAAAATATCTTGTTGAAAATGGCGCCGATGTAAATGGCGAGTACACTGATGGATGGACAGTATTGCACTATGCTGTTAGCGAAGGCAAACTAGAAATGATAAAATATCTTGTTGAGAAGGGAGCTGATGTAAAAGGTAAAAATACTGACGGAAGGACAGTACTGCACACTTCTGTTACTAAAGGTAAGCAAGATATAGTGAAATACCTTGTTGAAAACGGAGCTGATGTAAATAGCACGGATATTGACGAGAGGTCAGTTCTACACAGTGCTGTTACTGAAAGTAAGCTAGATGTGGTAAAATACCTTGTTGAACATGGGGCTGATGTAAATGGCAAGGATACTGATGGGGACACAGTGCTGCATTTTGCAGTTAGTGAAGGTACGCTTGAAATGGTAAAATATCTTGTTGAAAATAGCGCTGATGTAAATGGAATTGATACTGATGGGTGGACAGTGCTGCACAATGCTGTTACTGAAGGTAGGCTAGAAATCATAAAATATCTTGTTGAAAACGGCGCCGATGTAAATGGCAAGTATACTGATGGATGGACAGTATTGCACTATGCTGTTAGCGAAGGTACACTAGAAATGATAAAATATCTTGTTGAGAAGGGAGCTGATGTAAAAGGTAAAAATACTGACGGAAAGACAGTACTGCACACTGCTGTTACTAAAAGTACGCTGGATATAGTGAAATATCTTGTTGAAAAAGGCGCTGCTGTGAATGCCATTAACAGGAAAAATACTAACGGGTCGACAGTGCTGCACAGTGCTGTTGCTAAAGGTAAGCCAGAAATAGTGAAATATCTTGCTGAAAACGGCGCTGATGTAAATAGCACGGATATTGACGGAAAGACAGTTCTACACAATGCTGTTACTGGAAGTAAGCTTGATATGGTAAAATATCTTGTTGAACATGGGGCTGATGTAAATGGCAAGGATCCTGATAAATGGAGAGTGCTTCACAGTGCTGTTACTGAAGGTACGCTAGAAATGGTAAGTTTCCTTGTTGAAAATGGTGCTGATGTAAATGGCAAGGATAGTAACGGGTGGACAGTGTTGCACAGTGCTGTTGCTAAAGGAGCACACGAAACGGTAAAATATCTCATTGGAAAGGGTGCTGATGTAAATGGCAAGTATATTGACGGATGGTCTGTCCTGCACTACGCTGTTTCTAAAGGTACGCTAGAAATGGTGAAATATCTTGTTGAAAAAGGCGCTGATGTAAATGGTAAGAATACATACGGTAGGACAGTGTTGCACTACGCTGTTACTGAAAGTACGATAGATATAGTAAAATACCTGGTTGAGAATGGCGCTGATGTAATTGGTAAGACGACGAACGGACGAACAGTGCTGCACAGTGCCGTTACGAAAGGTACGCTAAAGGTGGTAAAATATCTCGTTGAAAATGGCGCTGATATAAATGGTAAGAATTCTGACAAATGGACAGTCCTGCACAGTGCTGTTAATAAAGGTACACTAGATATGGTAAAATACCTCGTTCAGAATGGCGCTGATGTAAATGGAATTGATACTGATGGGTGGACAGTGCTGCACAATGCTGTTACTGAAGGTAGGCTAGAAATCATAAAATATCTTGTTGAAAACGGCGCCGATGTAAATGGCAAGTATACTGATGGATGGACAGTATTGCACTATGCTGTTAGCGAAGGTACACTAGAAATGATAAAATATCTTGTTGAGAAGGGAGCTGATGTAAAAGGTAAAAATACTGACGGAAGGACAGTACTGCACACTTCTGTTACTAAAGGTAAGCCAGATATAGTGAAATACCTTGTTGAAAACGGGGCTGATGTAAATAGCACGGATTTTGACGAGAGGTCAGTTCTACACAGCGCTGTTACTGAAAGTAAGCTAGATGTGGTAAAATACCTTGTTGAACATGGGGCTGATGTAAATGGTAAAGATACTAATGGGGACACAGTGCTGCATTTTGCAGTTAGTGAAGGTACGCTTGAAATGGTAAAATATCTTGTTGAAAATAACGCTGATGTAAATGGAATTGATACTGATGGGTGGACAGTGCTGCACAATGCTGTTACTGAAGGTAAGCAAGAAATCATGAAATATCTTGTTGAAAACGGTGCCGATGTAAATGGCAAGTATACTGATGGATGGACAGTATTGCACTATGCTGTTAGCAAAGGTACACTAGAAATGGTAAAATATCTTGTTGAAAAGGGAGCTGAAGTAAAAGGTAAAAATACTGACGGAAAGACAGTACTGCACACTGCTGTTACTAAAAGTACGCTGGATATAGTGAAATATCTTGTTGAAAAAGGCGCTGCTGTGAATGCCATTAACAGGAAAAATACTAACGGGTCGACAGTGCTGCACAGTGCTGTTGCTAAAGGTAAGCTTGAAATAGTGAAATATCTTGTTGAAAACGGCGCTGATGTAAATAGACCGGATATTGACGGGTTGACAGTTCTACACACAGCTGTTAGTAAAGGTACGCTGGGTATAGTGAAATATCTTGTTGAAAAAGGCGCAGCTGTGAATGCCATTAACAGCAAAAATGCTGACGGGTCGACAGTGCTGCACAGTGCTGTTGCTAAAGGTAAGCCAGAAATAGTGAAATATCTTGCTGAAAACGGCGCTGATGTAAATAGCACGGATATTGACGGAAAGACAGTTCTACACAATGCTGTTACTGGAAGTAAGCTTGATATGGTAAAATATCTTGTTGAACATGGGGCTGATGTAAATGGCAAGGATCCTGATAAATGGAGAGTGCTTCACAGTGCTGTTACTGAAGGTACGCTAGAAATTGTAAGTTTCCTTGTTGAAAATGGCGCTGATGTAAATGGCAAGGATAGTAACGGATGGACAGTGTTGCACAGTGCTGTTGCTAAAGGAGCACACGAAACGGTAAAATATCTCATTGGAAAAGGTGCTGATGTAAATTGCAAGTATATTGACGGATGGTCTGTCCTGCACTACGCTGTTTCTAAAGGTACGCTAGAAATGGTGAAATATCTTGTTGAAAAGGGCGCTGATGTAAATGGTAAGAATACTTACGGTAGGACAGTTGCACTACGCGTTACTGAAAGTACGATAGATATAGTAAAATACCTGGTTGAGAATGGCGCTGATGTAATTGGTAAGACGACGAACGGACGAACAGTGCTGCACAGCGCCGTTACGAAAGGTACGCTAAAGGTGGTAAAATATCTCGTTGAAAATGGCGCTGATATAAATGGTAAGAATTCTGACAAATGGACAGTCCTGCACAGTGCTGTTAATAAAGGTACACTAGATATGGTAAAATACCTCGTTCAGAATGGTGCTGATGTAAATGGAAAGAATACTGACGGGTGGACAGTCCTCCACACTGCTGTTACTAAAGGTAGCCTGGATATCACAAAGCACCTCGTGAAAAATGGCGCTGATGTAAATAGTAAATACACTGACGGTTGGACCGTCCTACACGCTGCTGTAGATACTGGTGCATTAGAAATTATTAAGTATTTAGTTGAACAGGGTGCTGACATAGCTCCTAAAGGTAACATCAGCGCTCATACTCTTGGCACTGACATCATTAGGATGGCTGTTGCAAACAATTCAGTTGCTTTGGTGGATCTCATCAGGCAAAAGAACAGGGTTGTTCCGAGAGCTGGAAAATTTCTTGTCGAACGAAGCCAAATGAAGCCAATTCTTATCGAAGAATCTCAAAATAGTCTCAAAAAGTCTTTAAAACATGGTGAGAAGATTGAGATGTTGAAAAGAATGAACTGCAACATGTTAGAAAAGGTAATTTTTCAAATTAACTGAGTTTGGATAGAAACAACGTTATAAATCATTAAAGGCCCAACCGAGACACCAAACGCACAATTAGTTGTGGGAGAAATGGTTTTTGAGAGAGAAGTGCTTCAAATATAATGTAGATAAGGTCAAAGTTACCCCTTATAGGCTCGCTACAGCTTAATTCATGTAGTTTATGGTACAATTAATTATGTAGTCCTAGCCAAGGACTCTGGCGTCCTCAGGGGTCGTGGATCCCCATGTTGCACGTCCTCAGGGGTTTAGCAGTTGCTCCCCAGTATTGATCTTCACCCAAGAGGGGTCGTAGCTCCCCAGATAGGTATCCTAAATGTCCAAAGGGGTCATATATCCCCATGAAGTCATTCTTTACTGAGGTTTAGACACGAATGCATGTAGATTTATGCGAGTCTACGGGGTAGAGGGTGACCTTCGGCAACACTCCATCCCCAAGGACCAATGTTTAATTACTAAAAAAATGCACTGAACAAAGTGTTTTTATTAGCTACATGAAGCGAGGTAGAATGTCTCACAGGTGGGTACGGCATTACCCCAATATACTCTAGATGAACTGTTAGGCAGTCCTTGACGCAACAATATTTACATAAATTTCTGTAAATATTTTTTATCACTTTCCTCATGGTTTTATGCAAATCAGCAAATTAGTGCAAAATCGGTGGATTGTAAAAACTCTGAAATGGTAGACAGGGTAAATGGTAACAGAAGTTACCCCTATGAGCTTTAGATATACAATGCGTCGGATATGTTTGCATGATAATGCCACAATTTTAACGACAGTCATGAACATTAGCGAACGTTGCTAATTGGCTGCTTGCTAATTGCCTTGTGGTGTACTCGTGCAGGATCACGCTGCAGTTTTGCAGTCTTGCAATGGGTGTGTTTAAAGGGAGTGTTTAATGGCAAGCGGAAAACTGAATTTAGGTATTTTCCCTCGCTGCTGGGTTGTAGCAGCCAGGGACAATTCAATATAGTAGCTCAAAGGGGTAACTTATGTTAAACCTTTTCGTCGACGGGAGCAGAAGGGGCAGCTTGCCTTTTATATGCTCATGGACATTGAATGTCTTATTTTGTAATTTTTGTTCTTCAATATGGGTTTAATGAAAAAGCAGAAATGCAAAACGTTAATTCCATAACAAATCCATTATCTATTTGAAGTTTGAATAAAGGACAGGCGCTATAACGCTATCAAACTTATTTTTCTCCGTGTTGGCCTTAGTAAACCATTAAAGTGCCTTTTTTCGGATTTCTGCCCCCTGCCCTGCCTTTTATTGCGTCTGATGAGGCATCTAATAACCATATCTTTCTTAAATAGACTCAAATACCGATGCAGGCTTTTGTCGCAAAGAATCAATTCAAAATTGGCGATGGTGGTTCTTCTTGTGTCTATGTTGGTCTCATGCATGATGGAAGTGAAGTTGCTGTTAAGAGAATTTTGGTGCAAAGTGCGGACAAAACAGTTGAAAACGAAAAGGAAATCATGAGTCTCATTGAGACGGAAAACTGTCCATTTATAGTGAGCTATCGTCATTTTCACCGTGATCATGACGATGTGTTCATGTATCTTATTGTTGATCTTTGCGAAGAAAATTTGAGGGAACTTGTTCATGCATCCAGTATTGAACATCTACAAAAGCATGGTCCACGAATGATTAAGGAAATTCTGTCAGGACTTGAATTTCTTCATGATAAAGGAATATTGCACAGAGATTTAAAACCATCAAACGTCCTGGTTGATATCGATGGTCGCATGAAATTGGCAGACTTTGGAATAAGCCGTGTCCTAAAAGACAATCAAACGACAATTCAAACATTCGCCAAAGGTACTCCTGGATGGATGCCATCGGAAGTAACTCAAGCCATTGAGAAAAATGAAAAATGTCGTTTCAAAAGGAAATCAGATGTCCAGGTCGCGGGTATGATTGCTTTCTTCGTCTTAACTAAAGGTGAACACCCTTTTGGTTCTTCCTTTGATCGAATGAGAAATATTTCGGAAGGGAACTCTGTCAATTTGAAGAAACTTGATGATCTCGAAGCTCAAAAGTTTGTGTCCTGGCTGATCAATCATAAAATTGATAGGAGACCTTATGCTCACGAAGCGTTGAGGCATTCTTTTGTTAATGGAGATTAATACATAAACTAGTAGTTATTTTCACAAGGGGAGTGCTGGCGAGTCCTATATATATATAGTCCTATTTGCATAGCATACTTTTCATTAAGGTCATCAGCTTAATTGTACCTCAATGGGCTATAAAAGTTTTCAATATTATCTAATTGCAGCCCTGGACCCCTGGTCTTATTAATGAATAATATTCATTTCTCCATAGACTCAATTACTCCTGATTAGCCTAATGAGTTTAGTCCTCTTGAGTTTGATACCATAAACAGAAAATTATAAAAGTGGCTGCAGATTGAAGATACACTGCTCAATCAATGCATGTGTATATTAATTTCTTTTATAAATATAACAATGGTTAAAAAATACCAGCTAACAACATATTAAGGATAACAATGCAGATTCATAACAATGTGTATAATGTGTTTAATACATCTCAGTTCAATGTTCCAGCAAATTGCATGACAATTGATAAGCTCTAGCTTGCTTTATATCATAGCATCTTCATCCTGAAAAATATAAATGGAGATCTGATCAAGATTTATTCACAAGGTGCAGGAAGTTGAAAAATCAATTAATTATAAGCCATGATAATTGATAAATTGATTTGAATTTGACAAGATAATAAATAGCAAATAAGATAATATATTAACTAGGTTTTAACAGTCACCATCATCAGAGGTTGAAATTTACACTGTTTGCAGCAAAAATCTTATTACTTTGTATCAGCACTCGCTCAGCACTTTTGTCAGTCAGATCATGTTAATGCTTGAATCTAGTAGACTCATTGGGGGGAAGGTTTACCTATTTACATTATTGTTTGCTATCATAAAAACAAAATAGACCAAACTCAAAGATTGACATTGCCAGGAATTTAATTCCTTCCCCGCACAAGTAAAGAAAAACGATAAAGTTTGACTGTTTCAGTATATAACATTGCACATTTACCAAAGGTCTAAAATAGTATATTAATTTTGATGTTTGTACCATACGTTTTGATGGATTTATATGGCTAAGAACCTTTGGTAATCAGTTTACATTCGAATCCAAAAGCAAAAAACTGAAATTGTTATAAAAACCGGCTTATTTAGATGCTATAAATTAACAGCCGAATGAGAGGCGTCAGCAAAGCTCAAAATCAGCCATCTTTTGCGACACGATTTGGCCTGTGATTTAACCTGTGATTTGGCCTGTGATTTGGTCTGTGATTTGGCCTGTGATTTCGCCTGTGATTTCGCCTGTGATTTCGCCTGTGATTTTGCCTGTGATTTCGCCTGTGATTTCGCCTGTGATTTCGCCTGTGATTTCGCCTGTGATTTCGCCTGTGATTTCGCCTGTGATTTCGCCTGTGATTTCGCCTGTGATTTCGCCTGTGATTTCGCCTGTGATTTCGCCTGTGATTTCGCCTGTGATTTCGCCTGTGATTTGGCCTGTGATTTCGCCTGTGATTTCGCCTGTGATTTAGCTTGTGATTTTGCCTGTGATTTCGCCTGTGATTTCGCATGTGATTTCGCCTGTGATTTCGCCGGGAGGCGGCAGCAAGTCCTCCAGTAATAGAGAGTTTGGCAATCGCAACGTGATTGGCAACGGCAACGTGAAATGCGCGAAAAAAATGGGACGAGACAAATTCTCACGTTGCAACGTCGCTTTGGCGTTTACCTTCAACGCTAATTTAGTTGTTTTCACGTCGTATGACAACGGCAGACAAAAACCTCGACAAAAACATGAGTGAAATTGCCGAGAACAGGTAAGCATTACGATTTCACTACATAAAACACATGTTTTATTCTTGCCAAATTTAAATTTTTATCATTTTAGAAAACCTATCATGAAATGGACTCGCACACATGACTTGGAGTTACTTCGAGAGATTTTGGCGGAGAGGCCATTTGAGCAACCGAAGGGTTCTAGAATGATTGGATTAGTTTGGCAAAAAATTGTAGACAACTTAAATTCGAAGACTTCTCCATGCTTTGTTTTAAAGGATATACGAGCTGTGAGAGAGAGATATGGCATACTTGAAAAAAAGTTCAAAAGCAAGACTCGTGAGGAAATAAATGCGAGTGGTATCAGCGTTGAAGAACCAGACGAATTTTACGTTATGATGGAGAAAATAATTGGCTGTTTGAAAGCAATGAAGAGCGTAGAGAAAAGGAGAAGGAAGAAAAATGTGCGAGTGAAAAAAGCGTAGCAGAAGATACGAGACTTAGGGCTTTAGAAACGATCGGTGAAACGAGAAGAAGGAGAATGGAATCTGATGACGATAGCGATCTGCCTAATGTGTCTACAAAACGAAGGGCAACCTTGGCATATTTTAAAGAGAAGCACAGAAATGATCTAGACATAAAGCAGCAGGAAATCGAAGTACGAAAGCAGGAAATCGAGCTCAGAAAATCAGAGTTGGAGATACAAAAGGCTCAGAACGAAAACCTAATGAAGCTTCTTGTTGAATTAGCCAAGAAATGACAGTAACTGGCTTTTGCCTATTTTACTAGTTGTGTTACAGTTGACAGAAGTCCTTTGGATTAAGTCTTATTTCATAGATTTTTTAAAAGCATTGGACAAAGTAAGTTACTAGATGCTTGTCATACATATATGCTAATTTGATGCCAATTTTAAGTAATAGGACTTTCAAACTATTTATTTATGTATTTATTTATTTATTTATTTATTACACAGTTATTTATTAACAAAATATTTAAAATCTATCTTCCAGATTATTATTCCATATAAGTCTTAATACTTCAATACTAGAGCTGGGCAACAAATTTAAATGATTGGATGGAGAACTGATGTACAGTGAATAATCATTTTCATGTCAATCATTTGCAGAGATAATTTATTGCAAACTGGATTAACAAGTATTAATAAAAAATCATCAGTTCTCATTTATTATATATTTGTGACCATGCAAATGTTGCCTTGTGACTAAAATTTCCACTGATTACAACTATGAGAATAGGTCAGATATTGTTTATAAAGTACTCTTCAAGGTTTGGAGGGGAAATACCAAATGCTTCAGAGACAATGTTTCCATAACAGCATGTCAATGCATTTTCTAAAAGAGCAGCTGTAATATAATATTTACCAATGGGGCTTAATCCTAAGCATAAATTCCTTTTAAAATCAACAAATTTGAAGAATGTTGCTATTTGTCCAAAAAGCCATTCAACACTGATTCTTACAGAACTCATTAACCTATTATACTCTTTCATTTCGTCTGTAAGGGGATTGTTCTGAAATGGGGTTTGAAGATGGATCCTTAGAGGATATGCTGCATCTCCATAAACGCAAAGTGGAGTTCCATCTGGGGCAAAGGCATGTTGATCTAATTCTGCCATTACTTGAGATTCTCCAAAAATGAAAGCATCATGTCTTCTGCCCTCTATAAGAAAAAACCTTTCAACTTCATATCTGACTGAAACAAACATATCTTAATTTGAATTTATTATTGAATCTGAATTAATGTGGTGGTAATATTTTTTAAGTTTAAGCTTTTACTATCATGTAATTAATTAATTTTATGGTGCATTGAGGTAGAACCAGACTCTTTTAATTTTATTTCAAGCAAATAAATTTCTTTCCTAGTTAAATGTTGGTAACTTATTAAGGGGTTGTTGGAATCAGATAACTTCATGTTTATTAGGAACCATTATAAATTGGCCAAATAAATGTTTTTATTTCCTGTATTGTCTGCCAATGACATTTTCTCAGTTGTTGTTCCACTTATAGTTATACAATTGCATGCAATGCAATAAATTCAAAGGCCCCTACCCCATGGCCCGGAAAGGTTTCCTATGATTCCATTTGGAAGACAAATGCTCTGAAATTTAAGGGCATGGGTTCGCTTATGGCCATTGTATACTTCTCGTTGGTTTGTGACTGGTCTACAAATTGGCCTGACGGTGCCATCAATGAAGCCGAAGCAGTTCGTTAGTGGTGCACCTTTGTTGTGTATAGAAGTGGCATAAAGCTGTAGGTTTTCGCGTGAAAGGAATGATTGATTCCAACTTGTTAGTCTAAACTTGTTTCTTTCGTAAATAAAATTAACCATGAAATTTACAATCCTGCATAGTTCAGGGACAGATCTGCCAATAATGGCACCATATCGCAGTATCTCACAGGAAAGGCAAATCTTTTAACAGTATACATAAGGCTTCAAGACCATTGCACGGGGTGCATCGTTGTATTCGGATTTCGTCGGGAATCATTAAAACTGTTTTTAGTCTGGAAATGTCTTCTTTTTTAAATCTAAACTCAACTTTACAAAACAGTTCATCTGTTGTATTCCAGTTAAACTTATCGTATCCTTGAAAAGGAAAATTTGATTGCTTAAACATGTTTTCATTTTCTGCGATTAATAAAAAATATTCTTCTTCATCAATATCTTCCTCTGCCAACAGGAACAGGAGTAAATCTTCATATTCTACGTTTTCATCGAGTATGTCTTCAATATTTATATTTTCCGCCATTTTCAATTTACCGCCAAAACACCCGTCGAGCAAGAAATGCCAAACATTTCTTTTTCGCGACGGGTACGCCGTCTTCGCCTCAACCCTCGCGCAATGTGGACGTAGCCGTTGCCAATCACGTTGCAATTGCCAAACTCTCTATTAACTCAATGGGCGGTAGTCCTAGAACCTGCTAAGCGGGTAAGAAACACCCAGCCGCCTGCGTCTACCGAATGACAAAAGTCGAGCCATCGACTCAATATACGTGCCCAAACCCCAAACTCGCGCGGCCGTATGTGCTTCCACAGGCTGTTGTCAAGAATAGGGAGCTGGCTCGCTTCGCTCGCCAGCAATAACTTTTCTAAAGACCGTTTACACTACACGCGATATTTGGTAGGGTATGGATAAAGCTGGCACCGGTACTGAAGCGTTCAGAGATCCTTTCGTTGATCAACATTGATACAGTCGAAATACAAAACTTTTCTACAGAGATAAGACAACTATTATCAAAATTAATTACGAAAGACGAGATTCGTGAAAAATAAGTCTTATTTCGACTTGAAC